CTGATGCTGCCAATTGGTCCAGTGGTGAGAATCTTTGTCTTCTTGACATTGAGCCTCAATCCATATTGAAGGCTGCAGTCCTTGACCCTCTGCAGGAAGTGCTTCAGGTCCTCCTCAGTTTCAGCAAACAGGGTTGTGTCATCTGTATAACGCAGATTGTTGATGGATCTTCCACCAATCCTGATGCCGCATTTGTCCTCATAGAGTCCAGCCTCTCGGATGATCTGTTCTGTATATGGTTGAAAAGGTACAGTAGAGCTAAAAAAATGACACTCTGAGTACTATACAAATGACATTTCTTTTCGTCCTCAGTTGCAAAAAGGTCATATTTAGATTGGTACACTGATTCCTCCAAATTATCCCCTAGAAAAACATACTTAGCATATGCTTTATGGGAAAAGCACATGAAGAGATATTACATTAAATATTAATACATTAGTGCATTAAAATGTTGTGTTAAAATGTTGCATGAATACAGATGGTCCCTGGGAATTTTTAATGCATGATTAGTCCCTAAAGAAAAGGGCACTGGAGAATGCTACAGGGAAAGGTCACGGTTAAACCAAGGACGCACCCCGGACACTGTCCCCTCCTCACAGTCAGGGCAACCAAATGCCTGTCTAGGGGCGAATTCCACTCTCTGCTCCTGGCTGCTTTCCACTTCAGTAAATCAGGCTGGGAAGGCAAACTTCATCTCTTCCTGTTTGCACTGGCAAGAGGAGAGGTCTCTCACTTGAGGCAGAAAATGGTTTTTAAACAACACATACTCTTTCTTCCTGAATTTTTCATTAAAGTGCAAAGACGAATAATCTACAAATGACATCAGTGCCCTCTGGTGTTGCTGATCAGAGAATGAGAAAGTCTGTTTTGGAGCTAATATCGCTGACAAATCTTCCTTTATCTTAATCCCAGAGCCCCCTCACGGCTTGTGCTAAGAAAGTAGTTGTCTGACCTCTCAGCTCTCTAATTCTCATCTTCACCTTGCCCCACCTGCCTCACCTTGTCCACCACAACTACTTGAGGGCAGGGCCTGATGAGATCCTGAGCGCTGGGAGTGTAATCTCTTAGAAAAGTCAAAGGTTGAGGGAGTTAGTTTGCTTACAACTGACTACAGAGACAAATACAGGTATTATATTACCATTTTGAACTCATTTTTAATCTTCCCCCTGGAAGAGTACCCTTTCTAAGGTGACCTTAGTTTCATCTCAGCAATTCAAGTGGCTGTGTTTGGTTGAAAAAGACTAAACTCTCAAAAGTACCTTTCCCCGTTACATTTAAACATCATTATGAAAGAGGCCCTAAAATTGCCTTCAAGCCATGGTAGCAAATGAAGCTGCTGAGCTTCCAGGACTCCCACCAACAGTATTACTAGGAGGACAGAATCATTTCCTTTTAAAGCTCTGGTTTTCATAAAAGGGGAAAATTAGAGGGTATAGATAGAGCAAAGCCTTTGGAAAATAAAGTTAATTTTAGAATGATGGTATAGTAACATATTATTTGGCACATCCACATTTATTAGTTGTATCTGTTAACCCTAAGAACAGGCAGAGCACGCATGCAGCACTGAAAGAGAGCAGTATTTGAAAGTTCCAGATCAACAGAGCAATCATCTCTTCTTAGAAGCCACAGTCACAAAATAAAGGCTTCAATACTTTTGTAAGCTCACAGTGGGATGAAGAGATATTTTTTCTGTATAAATATAAATGCATAAATGGAGTTCTAGTGGCACAGTGCAATGTGCTGCTGACCGAAAGGTAGGCAGTTTGAAACCACCAGCTGCTTCAAGGGAAAAAGATGGACAATCTCGTGCAATTTACAGCCTCTGAAAACCTACTGGCGGGGTCAGCTATAAGCTGGTCTCAACTCGATGGCAGTGAGTTTGACTTTGAGTTTCTTTCCTCTCTCCTTTCTCCCTCCCTTAAGTTCTTTGGTTCAAAACCATCCACTATTAATTCTCTTGGTTAGAATCAAGCCTAGTCAAGCCACATCAAGCTCTTTGCTATATGGAACCCTCTGCTAAAAAGGACATATGGAGGCCTATCCTAGCATTCTGCAGTGCTTCAATATCTGTTGGGAACCCTGATGGCATGGTTGGTTAAATGTTGGCTGCTAAATGAAAGGTCAGTGGTTCAAATCTACCAGGCTTTCCGAGGGAGGAAGATTTGGTTGCGTGTTACTATCAAGATTTCAGGCTTGGAGGGCTGGTGGGCAGTGCAACTGTCCCCGCTGAGGTCACTGTGAGACAGAATCAGCTGGGCAGTGGGGTTAGTAGCTGCTTTAGATTCACTACTTTGTCCTATCATTTCTGTTTGAAGATTTCAAACCTCTACCTCACTGAGTGGAAACCTATATGGTCAAAGGGAAGTAAACACTCTGAAGATGCTCTGAGTTTACTTCTGGCAAGACAGAAAATGCATCCAAGCTCACTAGACTTAGAGGGAAGACAGCTTTTTAATAAAACATAAAACAGGCAAAACCCTCCAGGGGGCATAGTAATGGCAATTTATTAATGTGCCCATCTGTCATTCCATCTGACTCTAATGCCTCAATAATCTAAGTGACCTAAACAGAGCAAGGCAGTCAGAGGGCGGATGACCGGAATGGAAAGGTTAGCAAGAACATTCAAAGCAGATCAGAGTTCAGGAGCTGGGGGCAGGGGTGCTGGTGTCCACAGCTGGCTCAGCGCCCTCTTTCTCTGTGGATTAAATGCAGGGGAGGAGGAAAGTCATCAGTTTTGAAATGTGTATTTACTGACAGAGGAGTCTGTCCACAGCACATTTTTAAGCACAGAGAAAGGGCACGGAACAATATGCACAGTGATCTCATTTTAGAAAATAAAACAACAAAAAACAAAGACTCGTGTGTGCTGTCAGATGATGCAGAGAGAAAGGTCTGAGAAAGACACACGCTGAATTCTTCAAGGTCATTTGGTGAGTGCGGCGTCTCAGAGAAAGAGGGGATTTTGACTTTATAAACTTCTAAAACCCAAACTTAGCTGTCAAGTTGATTCCAGCTCATGGAGGCCCCATTGTGTCAGCTCAGAACGGTGCACGCCACAGGGCTTTCGATTGCTAAGGGGTTTTTTTTAAGTTGACTGACAGGTTTTTCTTCCAAGGACTTGAACCACCAGACTCTGTTGACAAGCCAAGTGCATTAACCATTCACACACACAGAAGTTCCTTTAGAAGGGGAGCATTGGTGGCCTAGTCCACAGGGAGCTGTGATGCGAACCTAAAGGCCTCTTTGGTGGTCTGAGTGCACCAGTGGCTCCTCTGGAGAAAAATGAGGGCACTCTCCTCTCATGCTTAGAAGGGTAGAGGGACAGCGCAGGAGAGGAAGACCCTGGATGAGATGGATTCATACGGTAGCTGGGACTACGGGGTGGGTGTGTTGAAGAGAGTGTGTTGAGAGAGAGACTGGCTCTCCATCAAACTCCTTTAAAAGAGACGTCCTGGTAAGTGTAGTGCCAGATTCCTGAGCTTGTCACCTGGCACTTCTGTATAGGTCCACTCACAGACCTTAGAGACTCAAAAGGAATTTTGTGCTCTGAGTGGCAGCCACCTCCGCTGGAGGTTCAGGATCACACACCCAGGAGAACTGTGCAGGTAGGGTCAGAACAGAGGTGGAATCGGGATCAGAACCAGGTAGCATCTGCAGTCAAGGACAGGATGCCACAGCATAGTCAGTGGCTCAGAGGACTTGTAAACGAGCACAAAGGCCGATCCTTTCCAGAGAGGGAATACAAATCAGCTGCGTTTCCCTGGAGAGTTAAGGCAGAAGCATGAGGCTGATTATTTATGATGACAGATGTTTTCCTTTGCCTTTTTTTTTCTGGGAGAGATGAATTTGTATTATCTGGATTCACTGGTATAGAGGGAACCCCTAAAACTTTTCAGAGGAGTCAGAGCAAGAAGATGTAAGGACTTATTAAGACAAGCAGCATGCAGAGATCTGCCACGTCTGTTGACTAGAAATCACACCAATTCACCCAAGAATTGGCAGTCTTTACACAAACATCAATTTGTATTGCACGAAGGTTTTTCTGAAGGCATGTTCAATTCTGTAAGAAGAGGAGGCAGAGGAGGTGAGAAAAGAATTCACAGAGGAGGTAGGATAAACCTCCAGGCCCCTGCGGGAGAGAAGTCAGTGAAGCGAAGGTTAAATACATTGATGTGTGTGAGTGTGCGCACGCACGTGTGCACCTGTGAGGTGTTGAGGTGTGGGGGCGGGGGGGGGTGTGTGACAGGGACTGGGTCTCACCATTTCTCTTCCTTGCCTCCTCCTTTGTCACTTTCTGCTGTGCCATTACATTCTGGGGTGAGCGCCTCCCAGAGCTGGGCTTCCCTGATTCGTTGCTGATGACAGAGCCATTCTCACTGGGAGACCTGCTGGAGGTAACCATAGCAACAGGGGAGACAGTAAGTTTAGACTGAAGCAGCCTCCTCTCAAGGTTATTTTATTTACACAGTGTAGCCTTTCTTTCTGGTTTTACACACACACACACACACACACACACACGAGAGAGAGAGAGAGAGAGAGAGAGAGAGAGAGAGACAGAGAGAGACACACCACTGTGGAGAGATATCACACACACACACACACACCCAGTACAGCATGGGTTAAGCAGCTGATTGTTCTAAAGTGCATTTGCTGGTGGTCAGCTCTGCAGAGAAGTTCCGTAAGCACAGCTCTCAGCTCTTTTTCATTAGCCCCCAGTGACTACGGAAACTGTGGCGGCTGTTTGTATAGCATGCCCTTTTTCTAAACCACAGTACTCGGGGCCGTGTTGTCGAGTGTTTGAATTATGGGGCATCTTCAGGCACATGCGCAGAACATGATTCTCTTGTGCCTAAAACACACTCCTTGACCACTAAAGTTAGCTACCCGCTAGTTCTACTCTGTGTGACTGTCTCTACACACAGAGAACGCTTTAACTTGTGGTAGCCGTTGTGGTAACTACTTGTATTTTGAAACTACCATTTGAACCAACCATCTAGCTTCAGACTACTTTTACTCCATCTGCTTTGTAGCTGACATTGTGTTAGGCACACAGAGATATTAAAACAGCACCCAGTGCTCTACCAGAGTCCCTGTCAGAAGCCTCTACCATGTGTCAGCAACCGTGGTGGTCACTTTCAAAAAGAGTTAATGAATTATTACAACGACCCTCTGACATGGTGAACTGCTACTCTTGTTTAGCAAGTGAGAGGCCCGAAACTCTCTATAGTGAAGTGGCTTAAACAGGGCAGGGTTGGGAAGTGACAAATTAGCACAGGAAGCCACGTACCCCCTTACAGGCAGGAGCTGTCCCAGATGGCCTCCCTATGGGTGTTTTCTATAAAGATCCCGGATGAGAATGGCCTTTACTCTGAACAAGCCTTGGGCCTCTCTCTTGCTCTTAGGGCACAGCATCTCTCCCAGAACTCTTTGGAAAAACTGAAGCCCTGCTGAGCTTCCTTGGTCCCTCCCACCTTGATCATGCCACCTGTAGGTGGGCTGGGTGTAATGGCCAAATGCCTGTCCCTCTGTGAGAGATCGTCAGGAAGCAGATATTTTGACAGAGCTCTGGTTTTTCCATTGTCAACTGTCCAGATTCAGAAGATAATGGCACATGATCCCTTCAATGGAAAACTGACTGGAAGAAAAGGTACTTGACCAGCAAGTAAGTAATTTTTAAATGGAAGCTATGCCTTCTCTTCCTTCTTCTGTTCCACACTCTCCTCATCCCCAAGGCAATGAGAAGTCTCAGTTCTGTATACTTTAGCACCCTAAAGACCACAAACAGTGAAAATGTCCACTCATGCCCATGAAATAAGGCCCCATCTGCTGAAAGTGTCCCATGAAACACTAGGGGTAAGTGAGATATTCTTTATTCCACCCAGCTCTACCTGAACCCAAAGTTCTACAGACAAGTATTAACTATTCCTCATGTTCCTTCACTGGCAATTCCTCATTAAAAATACCAATTGCTCTGATAATTTCCATTATAAAGAGACCCATCTAATTTTATTTCAAATAGCATTTCCTAATTTTATCAGGCCACACAACTCTTACACTAGAAAATATTTTCAGGAATTTCTGGGCGGAACAAATGAGTAATGTTCTTGGGTGCTGCTAACAGAAAGATTGGAGGTCAAATCCACCTGGAGGTGCCTTGGAAGAAAGGCCTGGTGATCTTAGGAAAAAAAAGCTTAGAAAAAAAACCCCAGGTACTGAAAACCCTATGGAACACAGTTCTCCTAATACAACTGGAGTTTCACTCCATGAGTCAGATGTGACACTGGATTTTGGAAGTATTCTATGAAACGAGCTTCCTAATGTGTCGTAAGGGAGCTCTGGTGACTTAGTGAGAGTTGTGCTGCCAACCCAGAGGCAGGCAGACTGGATCCACTAGCTGCTCTGCAGGAGAGAGATGGGTCATCTCCTCTCATGCAGTTTCTAGCCTTTATAAACTTGCTGGAGGGTCAGTGATCAGTCAGTTACTATTCAACAGTATACAATAACATGTCCACACTACTCTATTTCCTTCCAGTGAACAGAGTGCATTTTTAACACTGCAACTCAGATCATGTGATTTTAAGACCTCAAGCAATTTCTGATCTTCATTCACAATAAAATGTCAAGTCCTGACTTGCATCTATGAAGCCTGATATGATCTAACCCCTTTACTCTTTAGCTCTCCCTCCCTAATTCACAGCAGCCTCCTTGGCTTCTCTCCCTTCTCTAGCTTTGCATATACTATTCCCCCTCGATCGGACACTTTTGCTCTACACAGCCTCATGGCTTACACCTCCTTTCAACTGGGTCGTTCTCAAATGCCATTTCATCAGACCTTCCTGGACTTCTTATCTACCATTGCAATGTGCCCCCTCTCTCTCTAACCTCTTATTTACTTTGGATATTTTTTCTTATTCATGCCTCCTAAATTATTATGCATCTATTTCTCATTTGTTTATTCTCTCTTCCCTCATAACAGACTGTACATTTTTTTGAGAACAAGAACATAGTTTTCCTCCCAGCAACATTTCCAGTGTCTGGTAAATAAGCTGATAAACAAGAGGGAAAGAGCTTCAACAAGACAGACTGACACAGTGACTGCAGCCATGGTCTCAAGTGTGTCCGAGATGATCTTGATGGCACAGGCTACAGGACAGCATGCAAATTAGTAGTTCTGGGGTCACTATGCATCTTATTAAGCCTGAAGGCACTTAACAACAATGACAAAGGTTGGGAAGTGGGGGAAAGGGAGGCAGGAAGCAGAAACGAACAGCTTCTCTAGCAGCTAAGTCGTCTCCTACAAGGGAGAAGGGGGCTGGCAATGGGTGCTGGTTTTAGTAAGCTGGGCCTGCTCCAAGCTTCATTACTTCATTATGGTGCAAAGTCCTTCTAACAAAGTTCCTACCTCACTGGCCACTCTGTTCTGTCCTATAGGGTCACTATGAGTCAGAATAAAGTCAACCCTGCAGACTCTAACGCCTCTCATTTATTATGCACACTAGAGTTGTCAGGCACCAGCAAGTGTATTCTGACTCCAAGAGACACTAAGTGACAAAGCTGAAGTGCCCGTAGTGTTTCCTAGGCTATCATCTTCACAAGAGTAGACTGCCAGGTCGTTTTCCTTTAGAGTTGGTAGGTGGATTTGAACCTCCAGTCTTTAGGTTATCAGCTGAGCACTTAACTAAAGCTAGACAACTAAAGTGGCATTTCTAAAAGATATATATAGGATTAGGTATTATTTGCATGTTAACTGTCCAGAATAAGAGGTGCATAGCAAAGTGGACTGGGAGCCTGGGGGTGTGGGGAGGGAGGACATTGTGCAACAATGAAAAAATCTTTTAAAAGGGAAAAGTGAATGGGGAGGTGTTGGGAGGAAAATGTGCAACAGTGAATGAACTTCTGTTAAAGTATTAATAAAAAAATGTAAACAATGCATGCTGGACATTACTGGATTTTTCCAGTGACTTTCCATGACCTAGAAAATAAAGGTCCATCTCCTAAGCCTGGCAGTGAAGACCCTCCACAATCTTAGTCTTCTAGCTTCATCCTTTACTGCATCCAAACGGCTATGAACTCTATAAACTCCAGCTACCATCACCCATATGACCGTCCCTTTCCACTCCCAGCTCTCTCAGAGACTGTGACTTTACCTCTCCCTTTCCCCTACCTCCCTATTCATCCCTCCTTCTGGAAGCCTTCCCAGACCAGACTGAGTTCTCCCCCTCCCTTTCCCATAGAACAGCACTCTAAAGTGGGCACCCACACACCATGCCAGATATTCTGGCTATTTCTTCCTCTGTCTCTGCCATCATGAGGTTCTTGAGCTGGAAATTAAGCTTGCTGTTTTTTCTTTTAAAAAAAAATAAATTGTGGCAAAAAAAAAAAAATATATATATAGTAATCCCTTTGCCAATTCAACATGTATAATTCAAGTGTCATTTATTATGTTCAACATGTGGTGCAACTATTATTAATGTTCTTTTCTAAATTATTCTGCTACCATTAACAGCAACTTGTGGCCCCTAAAGGCTTATTGATTTCTGTAGCCCTCCCAAAGCCCGTCAAAAGGCTCTGTTCACAGTGAAGATCAAGAAATGGTTTTGGAGCTGAAATAGTAATATTCAATTGAGAAACTAGAAGTCCTAGTGATACAGTGGTTAAGTACTGGGCCACTAAAATAAGTGATTTGAACCCCATAGGAGACAGACGTACCAGTTGGCTTCCATAAAGTTACAGCCTTGGAAATTCTATGGAGCGTTTCTACTCTGTGCTATCACATGACCATTACAAGTAGGAATCCAGGCGCTCTGGTGGCTTAGCGATTAGGAGTTGCACTGCCAACATAGAGGTATGTGGTTCAAATCTACCTATCGCTCCACTACAGAAAATGGTCAATCTCCTTATATGCAATTTACTGTCTCAGGAAACCAACTTGGGGTCAGCTATGAGTTGGTTCTTACTCAGCAGTACAGAACCATCACACTACGAGTAGGAATTAAGTTGGCAGCAATTAGTTTGTACTAAGAAACTGCCAGTGATTAATATTTACTGAATGTAAAGTGTTGCTTTCAAGAGAAAACATATGTGACATCACTACTCTTCACCTGCTCTTCACCCACCACCTGGTTAACTGACATTTCACACTCACGATGATAGTGTAAAAAAGTAAATCTCCCATCCAACTACTTTGTGCATTGACTATGTACATCTGGCAGTAACAAATTCTGAGGTAACTGGCAAAAATAATGCCAACTGTAATGGTTAAGGTTATGTGTCAACAGCTTGACTGGGCCAGGAGTTTCAGTGGTTTGATAGTTATGTAAAGACAGAATTTTATGTACTAATCTAATTTGGGAGTTATATGATACAAGCATCCTCTGTTTGTGAGGTGATGTAATCATGTTCCATTTTCACATAATTCTGATTTTTACCTAATAATCTGGTTCTTGGAATCTGACCGTGTCAGTAAGTGAGCACTTAGATGTCTGCCATCCCAAAGAGTGATTCATGAGAAGTAAATATTGGGATTCCCATTCTCTGGCTTGGACTCCTTTTCCAATATTCAACAACAAGTTATAAAGAGGAATTTATAAAGAGAAGAATAGCAGAGCAAACCAGGCCTTTGGACAGGTTCATTCCAGTTCAATCCCTTGCTGAGAATCTGTTTTCCCCTCTCAGAGATACTGAATTGAAATCTACAGTTTAACAAGATTCCCAGGAGATTTTTAAGTCTCCAGAGAGCTTGTTAAAATGCAGATTCTGAGTCAATCTATGGTTGGAAAGAATACAGTAGTTCCAAGCCCTAGAATTAAAGGGAGGGTTTCAGCTGCCCTTGCCATTATCCCTCATAGTGAAGAGGAGGTGGCCCCATCATACCTCTTTCTGGTTTCAGTGGACTTGGCAGTCTTGATGGTGCTCCCATCTTGAACAACGTCTCTCTCCTGAGATGCAGGCGCGTCTCTAATGGGCAGCGGGAGGACTACTGTTTCCTGAGTCACGGGGATGACTTCTTCGTCTGCTCCTTGCTGGCCCAGGTGTTGCTTGGCATAATCGAAGCCTTGCACTGGCTACAAAAACCAAACCAGTTTACAATCATATTTCTAGCAAAGTGTGACTGTAATGACAATTTGAAAGGAAGACAAGCAGAAAACACACTGGGCTGAGTGATACTTCTCAGTCACAAATGGACAAATACTGGATAACACCATTGTTATAAAGCAGGACTGACATGGGAGTTAAGGGGAAATTAAGAAAAGAGAGGCTAAATAATGAACACTGCATTGGAACATACGAGGGAAAGATCTGTTTAAAAGGAATATATGATTAGGAACTATTTGTATGACAACAGTCAGCAAAGTGGACTGACGGAGTAGGGGGAGAGGGAGGAATTATGCAACTATGAACAATTGTTTTTTAAGTTAACTTCAGGTGGGGCAGGGAAGAAAATACGCAACAATGAATGGATGAAAATCCAACTTTTCTGTAAACTTTCGTTAAAATCATAATAAAAAAAGGAAAAAAAATACATGGACTGGGCCATATTTGGTTTTCCAGTGATAGTTAATGTAAATACCTATCGTTATCTCTGTTTTTATACCAGAATCTGTGTAAACTGCACCTCTTTACAGAATCTTGATTGATAAAAGAGTGCTATGAAAAAATTTTAGTGGAAGAAAGATGCAAATGTGTTTATAAGAACAAACTTATTTCTAAGATCTTAGAACACTGAATTTAAGCCATGGAGATTGCTAATTTAGAAATACCCTTCATTGATATGTTAATAGGCTATGCAGAGTCTCCTACCTAGAACCACTGTTATCATCCCTAAGCACAGGTCTTACATAGCTTTGCATGTGCTCAGGGCAGAGTTGTGCTAAGCCTTGAACCTTATGAACTTGAGGGTTCTCATTTGAGAAGTGAAGATAATCTTATCTGCTCCACCTTACTTGGATATAAGTGGATTGCAGATCTGAAAACACAGAGAAACATGCAACAAAATCTGAGACAGTACAACCATTGATAATAAAATGGAATTTAAGGAATTACTCTTTAATCCAGACTTCTCCCTTAAGTAGGCTGGCTCTCATAATTCATTACTGGGAAATTAGTGAGGCTTTTATTATATAGTGTTTGCTATCCCAAGTGAATAGGGCAGCTGTGAGCAAAACCCAACAGACATCTATTAGCGGTGTAATAAAAAACTAATAGGCATGTTTAAACAATTCCTGGGGGTGCCTCAACTTTGCTTTATAACCCAAAGAAGCACAATATAAACATGAGACAGGACAGTGTGGTGATTAAGAGCAGTATTTCTAACAGTAGGCTTTCTGGTTCAAATCTTGCCTCTCCTACCGGCTGCGACCTGAGTAAATTATTGAAAGTCTCTAAGCACCTTTTCAAGCCATCTGTTAAATGGGGATAATAACTGTGCACTTGGTGAAATGTGTGTGTATGACAGGGTGATATTTCACCCTTCTCAGGGGCTCCTGTGAAGGTTAAGTAAGTAAACTCTTGTTCAGCATTTCCCTCAGTGACACAAACTAAAAGCCCAACTGAAATGTGTTATTACTGTCACTTGCATTTCTACTAATGCAAATAATGATAATCATCAGTAATCTTCAAGAAAGTTTGCAGACGAAACTCCACCTTCACCATCTGAATTGGATCAGAACTTGACATGGATCAGAAGCTCTCACTTCAGCAGCTATAATTTAGTTAAGAAATTCAGGGAGGCTCCAGATTTATGAAATCTAAGACTGTGACTCAACCCAGCAAATCTTCTCATTATGCTTCAGAGCAGGATGGAGGTTTATCACTAAATCCACCAAAGCGTTCTCATTTCAAGATGCCTTTTGCTCTGCTGTGGAGTCTTTGAGTGGTGTAAATGGTTAGTACTTGTTGCAAATCAAAAGGCTGGAGGTTTGGATCTGCCCGGGGTGCTCAGGAAGAAAGGCTTGGCACTCTACTTTTGCAGAATCAGCCACTGAGACCCTTGTGGAGCACAGTGTGACTCAGAATCAACTCAGTGACAGCTGCCTTGGCATTGGATCTCTTCCTTGATTTTTTGGGTGGCTGTTCCATGGATGGTTCCTTCAATTCCCTGGAAGACTCATTCTGGGAAGTGTGCTCCCCTCTCCTCTCCTCTGAGACAGTCACAAGACATCTGTGTGAAAGAAAGCATTAGTATTCTGATACCAAGATCTGGGATGTGTTCCTGTTACAGTATTTAGCTAAAGGAAGTAAATGTCTGTTCTGTTCTATTCCCTATGTTGGTGTTAACATGAAGCAGAATCGAGCGTTGGGATGACTTGATAACGTCCGTAGAATATTGATTTGCCTGTTCCCCCCCACACAAATAATTGATCACCAATTGATTCCATTTCAGAAAGGTTTCTTGGTGTTGAGCTAATCTCTCCAGATACACTGTTCAATTGTTTCCTGCCCTGGTCTTCATGATTTTATTTATCTTTCTAGATCTATCCTTAACCAGTCTCCAAAGTCATTATCCTTAAAACTATAATGAGGTGACACTAATCACTCACGAATAATATTTGATGGCAACCAAACTCAAGGTCCTTTACACCTTGGCTGCCACTATCTGTCCAGCCTCCTCTCCTAGTGGCCCTTTGTGCTGTACCTCTACACCTCATATTTTTATGCACTTTAGTTTTAGCAAGTTATTGTTTATTCTGTTTGTTAATGAAGATATAAAAGGTTCCCTGCCCTCAAGGGATAACACAGTTTTGTCCTTATTTGGCATTCCAGTACAGTATTTAACATTAGATGAGTTATGGCATTTAAGGAAAGGAGGTGGTAGTGTAGTGCATAAAATAGAGAGCTGCTAACGAAAAGCTTAGCAGTTCAAATCCATTTGCCACTTTGTGGGAGAAAGACAGTCAGTATCCAATGAAGATTTATAGCCTCAGAAACCCAATGGAGCATTATCATGAGTCAGAACCACCTCGGTGATGACGGGTAAGTAATTCAAGAAAGTCAGTCTTGTAGTCAGTAGGGAGCTGCATGCCCAACCTAAAGTCATATCTCTTTGGCAAGTCAAATCCACCAGTGACTCTGAAGGAGAAATATTGGCAATCTCCCTCCTCCTGAACATCTGAGGAAGGGTCAGCTATGAGTCAGTTCAGACTCTACAGCAATGGCTTTGAACTTTGACTTGATAGATGAAGCAACTATATGACCAAAAGCCTGAACAGGTAACTACAACTTTATAATGCTTCCTATGAATCACATTTTCCTTCCATAGTCCGCCATCTTGGTTGGACATCTACTGAGACACTTGGCCCCCAGTGAGGCAGCCAGTGTCTTCAATGACAGCAAAGCTTTCCCGTATCCCAGGTGAGGGGTACCAGCTGGCTCTGGCTTATCTATTCATCACTTCCAACTCTCTCGAGATTTGGCCCCTTATCTTTCATATTGGGTTGAAGTTATCCACTGGATAGTTCAGGCGACTAGATCAGTGATGATGGAAGAACAGAAAGAGGGACGGTAAGGAATGACAAGCTTAAAAAAGTGACCACTGTCATTAGATGAATAACAATAATAACTTTAGTACAAAAACTTGTTGATACCACATTTTGTCCTTACAACAACCCTGCAGAATAAGCAGGAAAAATATCACCAACTTCCTTTCACAGACAAGAAACAGTGGCTCAAAGAGGTTAGGGATTTGCCCCACACCACACAACTAAGTGGCTGCTTGTCCCTCAGGTTTCTGACTCCCAGGGCACTGACCTTTCAACCTTCAACTTGAAAATTATCTCTGATAAATTAATTTCCAAATGATGCACACTATTGACTCTAGCAACAATAAAAATATCCTCAAGTTTGTGTAATTAATTCAGTGGGATTTTATAAAATTTTCAAATGAAAATAAACTAATTTCTAGTATTTGCAAAACAGACATGTTACCCAAACCTTTTAAGGGAAAAAAATGCTCACTTAAAGAGATTAATTTGGGTATAATATTTATTATATGCCAGGCACAGTTCAAAGCAACTTACAGATATTAACTAAATCCTTAGAGCAATCTATGAGTACTGTCGTCACCCCCACTTTACAGATGGGAAAGCTGAGGCGCTGTAAGATTCTGTAACAAGCCTAAAGTCACATGGAGAAAATTCAAGAGAGAAGAAGCTGCTGGCTACCTTTGCTGGGGGTGGGGTGAGAGGTGTTACTGTCCCAAGCAGATAGATTTTCATGACAACCTTGCAGGCCCTCCAAGCTCCAGCCTGTTTCAGGCTGTAGCCCCAAATACTTTCTATTAAGGTTGCCTGCTCCAGGTGTCGTGTTATCATCAATATAGGAAAGGAAAAATTGGAAAAAGGCTGTAAATCCAACAACAAAGAGTGCAGAGAGCTTGGGAGAAAGGAGGTGGGCAAGGCCTCACCCCAGGGCCTCCTGCACGCAGCATTTTCTTAGCACTCAACCTGACGTAGCCCAGCTGACAACAATGGGAACAGGGTCATGTCCAGTATTAGTACCTTGTCTCTGAAGAAGGGTGCAGGTATCCACGGCCAGGCCTCAGCTCCCAGGAAGGCACACTCACTTCCTCTGCTTAGCATGTTCAATTAATTACTGAGGCTCAGCCAGGCTCCCCAGGACTGTCCTCTGGCCCTGCCACCTACATGCTAAAGACGCAGTGATGTCCTCCAAGTCTACGGATTGGTGGCAAAGGCTAACTTTCCTCATCCAGCCTCGTTGCCCTGGCACTAATTGAATTCTGCTCACACACACACCCCAGGTTGTGAGGAGTGATGCGGACGGCTCTCTCCTCCCTCCACCACTGCAGTGTCCCCGGGTTGCAGCAGCGGCAGGACTGCAGCAGAAAGCGGCAGTTCCACCCTGCTGGTCTCCCGTGATAAAAGGGCTTTGGAAATCAAAGTGTGCAGCCCAGGCTCATTGCAAAAGAAAACCACCCCAAACCACCATCGCTGCCAACACCACCACCAGCAGCAGCAGCACACCCGAGTGAGCCCAGTCTTCTCGTGGAACATAAACATGCTTGATTTTCAACATCAGCCAAGTGCAACGGACCGGGAAGGTACATAAAAGAGGTGACGAGAGCCCACAAACATTCATCACTTCCAGCTTCCACCCACTCCCTAGCCAGAAGGTAGAGTGAAACTGGGTGCTGCTCAAGTTAGCCTGGCAAAACCAATACAATTCTGGTTTCATCTAGAACAGACAGATGCCATTTGCAACCTAAGTATGTCAGGCTTTGCATTCCTGGGCCCAGCGACAATTAGATTCTGCTAATTACCGTCAAGTCTGAAAGGCTCCCGCTTGTAGCTAAGATGGAAATGAAATGCCCCTTCTTGGAACAGCCTCTTTCCTCCCTGCTTGAGTAGTTTCCAGCACACACATTCTCACCAACGCCACACTGTGTCAGGGAAGCCAGCACCTCTGCGGCAACAGAAACCAAACAACTGTCCCAGGGAACTGGTTATGTGGCCCGCATCTAGTCAAGCTGCAGGGTCACAACAGGTGTATCCGTTTAGGTAACAATGAAAAGCCTTTGTTTTGTTTTGCTGAAGCGAGGTGTGATCATCCAGAAGGAACTAGGTGTGAAATGTGACTGATTTCCCATGAGAAAAGTGATTACTTCCCTGGTTGACAGGAATGCTAGTGCCTAGGAAGTGCAAGGTGGAGCTCACGGTCGGTCTCACTCCTGCACAAGTAGACCCACCTCTGATGCTCAGAGCCGGAAGGAGATGTCTACCTGCCAGATCACAAGGTGCAGGGAGCTGTGGGATGTATGGGATGTAGAAAGAGCCCAGAGGTGGGGACCAGTGCCTGGGCCACCCCTTCCCTGCTCATTATACAACTCTGGACAAATCCCTTCATTTCTCTCTCCTCTCCTCTCCTCTCCTCTCCTCTCCTCTCCTCTCCGCTCCTCTCCGCTCCTCTCCTCTCCTCTCTCTCTCCTCTCTCTCTCTCTCCTCTCTCTCCTCTCTCTCCTCTCTCTCTCTCTGTCTCAGGTGCCTCATCAGTAAACTGAGAGTAAGAAAACCTACCCTGACTGTGACCTACCTCGCAGGGCTGCTGTGATGAGCAAATGAGGCGATGAACCTAGAAAGGCTAGCAAATTGTAACGAATTATTTCAATATTAGCTGGTACAGGTTCTTATTATATTGCACCAGGAGGAAATCAACGTAACTGGAAACTTAGCCTTCATAGCTCCTCAGCCCACATCCCTCTCAGTCCCTGGAAGGTGCAAAGAAGTAGCTCTGTGAAGGAGGACAGACTCCAGTCAAGCCACAGAACTGGACCATGATGGCTGCCTGGTCAGCACTCTGCAGTCTGTCCACTGTGGCAGCCTTTGAAGGTAATTCATTCCAGCCAACGGGAGGTCTGCTTCGAAGGTTTAATATCCCAGAACAACCCTGCCAATTGGCAGCCAACTGATCCAATTCTAAATAATGAGTTTCACTACCCACTAAAACTGTGCAACCTTGAAGGAATCACTTTTGCATCTGTGACAGGAGGGAGTCAGATTAGATGATTTATGGCTCTTTTTAGAGATAGTGGTGGATCCACGATAGATCACTTACCTTGCATGCAGAAGATTTGGGCTAACACTTCATATGCAGACACCATGTCAGTAGGGGCGTGTGGATTGCCCTGATGCTAAAACAGGTTTAAAGGACTAGGAACAAAGGACTGGAGATCTATTTCTGAAAACTGGCCAATGAAATTCTAATGACATGGCCAGCAACTGATCAAGAAGCTGGTGCAGGACTGGGCAGTGTTTGGTTTCATTCTGTATGAGTCGGTCAACTCTAAAGCAGCTAGGAGGGGCTCTTCCTTGGAAGAGGGACATGATGCTTAGAGGGGTCAGCAAAATAGAGGAAGACCCTCAACCAGGTGGACTGGTACAGTGACTGCTGCAATGGGCTCTCATGTGTCAGGAAGTGTGAAGATGGCACAGGATAGAACAGGGTTCAGATCTGCTGTTCATAGGGTTGCTATCAGTCAAACTGGACTCGATAGCATCTAACAACAACAACAACAACTTTCAGGCCTATCTAGTCCAGCTTGTTCATGCATAGTTTCCTCACCTGTAAAATCAAGGTGCCTCTCCATGGGTGACTGTAAGATTGAGTTGAGTTGCTACATGTAAAGGAATGAGAAGCACTGATGGTAAGGTGGACAGTAAATATGCAGTAACCATCACGTCCTGATCATAAAAATCAAGGCTCCCTTTCAGCAGGAGGCTTGTAAAGCCATCTTTGGTGGTGTTTGCAGCGGCCTCTGAGAACCCAGAGAGGGAAGAGACGAACCGTGCCGGGCTGGGCCCCTACTCCCCGTCCACGCACCTTTGCTCTCTGCGGCAGGTTCATCATGGTGTCTGGCTTGAAGTCGTTCTTGTTCTTGCGGCAGAGCACAGCAGTGATGATGATGATGATGACCGTGACCACGGCGATGGGCGCCAGCACCGCAGCGATGATCCACAGGTTGTTGGGCGGGTTCTTCACGACAGCTGTGGGGAAAGAGCAAGCAGCGAGCACGTGACAAGGAGCAATGAGGGACGAGGAAGAACGTGACTGGGGACAAATCCCTCCACGGTTCCCAAAACAGGAGGGCGGAGGCTAAGAGGGCCTCTTCAGAGAGGCTCTGCCTCTGTAGCTGCGATCTTGAGAAGTTCATTGAGTTAAGTCCAAGTCTACTCATCTGTAAAATGGGGCCATCACTTTGTGAGGAAGCAGTGAGACATGTGATGCTTTGGCAGGGTGTGCAGTTCCTAGGGGGTGTTCAATCACGGCTAGTTTTCATGGTTGTCAAGAGGCGGAGGAGAAAGACATATCATTGTCAATTCTCTTCAGGAGTGCTGACCATGAGCCAAAGGAGGACACAGGACAAAACCACCTGAGGATCAGAAGGAGGTGGGACAGTCAGGAGGCAAAGGCCACACACGGGGAGATGGCTCTCTGCATGAGTGAGGAGCAAAATATAAAATGAGTTGAGCAACTCAAGCTGGTGGAGAAAGCTTGGGAACACTTCCAATTAATTGAAAGGACCAGGCTAAAGAATCAGATTAAGGAAATGTGTAACTAAGGTGATTGTTAATGGAAAGAACGTGTTAGTAGTACAGCAGGTGCTTCTAGTGGTAGAACTGAGATCAATTAAACTGGAAGGAAAGACACAGTGATGGCCATACTTTGTTTTAAGATAGGAATGTGGGTTATATGGGTGGAATCTTTTAAAAAGTAAACAAAACCATTTACCAAACGTGCTACTTAACATCTGTGCATTTCACCAGATGTAAACTTTACCTAAAAATATCACTTTCATATTCAAAATATATTAAGAATCTTCATTTCTTCCTTCTTCCTACTGCTACCATCACGGTCCCAATCAATCAGTCTCGCTGTGGAATTACAGCTATGGTCTCCTACTTTCTCCTTGTCCCTGAGGTCTATTCTCAATACAGCAACTGAAGTATGCCAATTTTCACTTTATGACATGGGTTAGGTTTCAAAGATTAGGTTTTTAAGTGAAAGTTGACATTATGAATAACTGTACAATGACTACATCTGATCATAACATGGGGAGTTACTACACTATTATATTAACTGCCAAATTACATCATTACATAACCATCAAACTACTCAGAGTCCCTGCCCATCCAAGTTCCCACATCACCTTAACCATCACAGCCATTGCTACTCTTGCCTTACACGCTGGTGTTCTTCAAGAGGCACATGGTAAAAGTAGTTAGCTAGTAAATTATTTCACTGTTGTAAACACAGAAAGTTGGGTAACGAGACGGTTTATAAGTAAAGGGTATATATAATAACTTAAAAACAGAACTCAGATCACAGTGTTGCTGTTGTTATTATGTGACCTCAAATTGAAACTGACTTATAGCTGACCCACCAGCAGGGTTTTGGAGGCTGTAAATTGTCCATCTTTCTCCCAGGGATCATGCTGGTGGACTCACGCCACCTGCTTTTGGGTTGGCAGTGCAACTCTTTAACCACTAGGTCATCAGAGCATCTTAAGTTTATTCTGTCCAAAACTCTCTACAGGCTCCCTCATACATTGAGGAAGAGCCAGCCTGCGTCCGTACCATTTCTACAAGACTCTGAAAGATCTATCTCCATTACCTGTTTGACCTTGGATCTGCTATTCTTCTCTTACCTCCTTGAGCCCCTCAGGTTTCCTTAGTGTTCCTCCACATACTGGACACACTCCTGTCTTAGGGCTTCTGCACTGGCTGATCCCTTCACCTGACATCTACATGACTCCTTATCTCACTTCCTTCTGGTCTCTACAAATATCACCACATCTATAAGGCTGTGCCTGTATTCTGCACATAAAACAATACCTGTATCAGCTCTCTCTACAGCAGCACTTCTCAAACTTGAGAAATATCTACATACAATTCCCCTGAGAGGCTTGTTCCAGCGTGGATTCTGATACCATTGGTTTAGGGCGGGACCTGAGATTCTGTTTTTCCAACAAATATATGAAAGCTGAAAAATGAATGGACTGCCAAGAGAACTAGCAGATATGCTTTGGAGAGGGTGAAACCAAACTGCTCTTTGGAGGCAAGGATGTTTAGTCTCCTTCTCACATACTTTGGGCATGATGCCAGGAGGGACCAGTCCTTGGAGAAGGTCCTTGGAGGGGGGAGGGATAGCGTAGGAGAGGAAAATCCAGGATGAGATCGATTGACACAGTAACTGTGGATATTAAGTGTGCTATGTAAATATATTGTGGTTTCACCCTCTACAATATCTGTTAGTTCTCTTGGCAGTGCATGATGTGTTCAGTACTCGGCTCCAGAACCACAACCCAAAGGCATCAACTCTTCTTCTGTCATCTTTGGTCATTATCCATCTCTCTGACGCATAGCAAAGATGCTGGCCTGGATCATATGCACCTTAGTCTTCAGACTGACATCATTGCTCTTCACTCTGGAGAGGTTCCTGACAGTAGATTTTACATCACACACTTAATATCCTTTGCCAACACCATAACTCAATTATATTCATTCTTATTCAGTCTTCCTTACTCATTTTGTTCAACACAGAGATGATGGTGCAGAACCTGGCAGTGTTTCATTCTGTTGTACATCTAAGGTTGTCACATTGCTGTTATGTGCCATTGAGTCAACACCAATTCACAGCTGACCCTGTAGCAGGTTTTCAGAGGCTGAAAATTGCATAGAAGGAGATTGTCCATTTTGATTCCACAGAGCTATTGGTAGATTTGAACCATTCACCTTTGAGTTGGCAGCATAGCTCCTTACCACTAAACCACTAGAGACCCCTTTCCAGGAGATCATCACCTTTTCTCCCATCAAGTTACTGGGTGTGTTTGAACCACCAACCTCTATATACAGTAGGAGATGAGTTAACTGCCACACCACCAAACGCTTCATTAAATGTTCATGTTGTTGTTAATGAAGTGAAATCAAGTCAAGCATGACTCATAGTGACCCTAAGAAAAATGGACTTGAACTCTGCCCTGTCCTGTGCTATCCTCATCATCAATGACACACTTGAGCCCAGAGTCATCATGTCAATCTATCTGGTTGAAGGTCTTCCTCTCTTTTGCTGACCGTTCCAAGCATGATATCCTTCTCCAAAGAACAGCCTCTCCTAGCAACATACCCAAAGTATAAAGTGCTAAATGACATTTTGAATGAATACATCAGTGAACTACCATTATCCTTGTTGCAACTTGGTCCCCCACACAAGCTTTTTCACAAGATAGATTTTCAAACTGATTAAAGGGTAAGTCCCATCTTCTTGGTTGTTCTATTTTAAATTAATAGACTCGCAACCAGGTTTATATATCAAGCTCTTCAAATTATGGTTAGAATGAATTGGGTCTCCTGCTCCTGTTGCTGTCTAAGGCCTGAAAAGGTGGGGACCAGACAAGACAAAAAGATCTCACCTATTAGTGTGACACGGAGAGGACCTGTCGGAGCAGCCAACCAGCTTTCTCTCTGACTCGAACCACTTCCTGATTTCAACCAGTCCTCGTTAGGTATGAGGTGCCTCTCATCTGACAGCACTGGGGTTTGAACTCCAATTAGTACATAAAGAGCTTCTTTTCCACAGTTTTTAACAGTTGGTGATTAATCACATTATTAGATTCTGAAAACAGCTCATTAGATAATGTGCCTCTGTTGACATTAACACTTAATTGCTACTCTTTTTAGTAATTCAGTATTTATATGTGAGTTTTATGCCATTAAAATTTTTTTAAAGCTTGGAGCTTCTATGAAGAGTATCATTATGCTTCTACTTGGCTTCACTATTCTATCCTGATTGAGGGGGGAAATGTATGGCCTGACAGAGCTTGATTCTCTGAATATACATTTTTCATCAGGAAGAATGAAATATTCACATGTGTTTGGCTTCTATTCAGCTGGATTGTTTTGGCAGCCATATTTCATCCTGGTGCAATATGTAAAATCCCTTCACCTCTATAAAATAGAGGAGAGAGCAGATTTATCTGTGCACATTAATAAATTTATTGAGTGGTCAAAACGATAGCAAAGTTAGGTCAGCTGAAGCCACCCAAGCCCAATATATTCATTGGTATAATGATCTAGAAGGACAAAGTCATGCAGAGAGGTGAAAAGGAGCAAAGGGTTTAATTTGCAAGTAATGTTGGAAGAGCGTCAAGGACTCTCCTTCAAAGGGTCACTATGAGTTGCCTGCGACTCGACAGCACTTAACAACAACAACAACAACAACAACAATGTTGGAAAAGAGGAGTCAACATTTCTGAGCAGCTGCGGTGAACAGTCCTTTGCCCTCCTGCTATTCTGACCCCATTTTCAGATAAGAAAACTGAGCCTCAGAGAGGCTAGACATTTCTGAAGTCATTTCTAAGAACTACAAGGTCCAAGTCAGCTCCCAAGTTAACACATGAGTGACAATGCATTCATTCACACACATGAAAGTATTTGTCAGAAGAATGAGGAATTATCTAAACTCAGGATAAATGACTATTACATAACGTAAATGTCAGGAAGAGTAGAAACCCATTAAAAAGGCTTCTGGTTTGCTTTTGTACTGTCACGTTTGTGTCAGATATGAGCGCATCGGCTTGAGATGAGTCCACACAGACATGAGTCTAGCTCAGTGCCCAACAGCTGGGGAGTCTGGTGTTCACGTGCAGTTCCCAAAGCCCTCAGTGACTTCCTCATAACCCAGGTTGGGCGGGGTGGTCCTGGTGCCTTATCTGCCTCTTGACTGCATTCTCCTCTCTCAATGGCCTCTTTGCTGAGTCTCAGACCTTTTAAGAACCTCCTACTTATGTCAAGAAGACAAAGATTCTCACCACTGGGCCAACTGGCAGCATCAGGATGGATGGTGAAGAGATTGAGATTGTTCACAGCTTTAGTTTGCTTGGCTCCACAGTCAACACTCTCGGCACCAGCAGCCAGGAAATTAGAAGACGTATTGCCATGGGAAAGTCTGCTGTTAGGGACCTCTCCAAAGTACTGAAAAGCAATGGTGTCTCTTTGGAGACTAAGGTGCGTCTGATACAGGCCATGTTCTTTGCTATCACTTGTTATGCATCAGAGAGTTGGACAATAACTAAGGAGGATAGAAGAATTGATACCTTTGAGCTTTGGTGCTGGAGAAGAGTATTGAGGGTACCATGGACTGCTAGGAAAACAAACAGATTCATCCTGGAAAGGGTCAAACTGGGCTGCTCCTTGGAGGCAAGGATTCTAAGGCTCTGTCTAACATACTTTGGACATATTGCAAGGAGGGACAGGTCCTTGCAGAGGGACATCATGCTTGGTAGGGTGGAGGGACAGCACAGAAGGGGAAGGCCCCCTATGAGGTGGACTGATTCAGTGATAGGGGTAATCGGGATGGGTGTGTCGGAGACGGTGCGATTGGCACAGGACAGAGCAGAGTTTATGGCCTTTGCTCTTCCCTTCTCCTGGACCTCATTCCTAGATGTCCTCAGGGATCATTTCTTCCCTCGCACTCTTCCTTCAGAGCATCACCCAGAGATGCCTTCCTCTGTGAGTCTCCCTGACTGACTGTAACTTAAAACGCAGCCGTTACCTCCCTGGTGTCCCCAGCCCTTCCCTGCCTCCTTTTCTTTACACAAATAGCATGCTCATTAGGTTTTATTTCTTTCAAACCACACAACCCCGTGAGCATTACTTTCCTATGCGCATGGTAGGTGAGCAGGTTGCTTTGGGTACATAATATGCAAACAAGTGCTAGTAATTTGTTTTGCTTATCTGATTTGCACACTACAGAATGTCAGCTCCAAGCGGGCAGAGTTTTGGGGTTATTGTTTGGGGTTTTTTTTTGTGTGCTTATGTTCCCCTGTACCTCCAAGTCCCTAAAACAGTGCCTGGTATGTAGTTGTTGTTACACGCCATCAAGTCACCTGAGGTTCATAGTGATCCTATGTACAGCAGCTCTGAAGCCTGCTCTGTCCTGAGCTAGTCTCACTGACTCTGACACACCTACCCCTACTGACACAGTTACTGTGTCAAGCCATCTCATCCAGGGTCTCTCCACCCTTCTGAGCATGATGACCTTCTCCAGGGACCAGTCCCTCCTGGCCACAAGCCCAAAGTATTTGTTACATCCTCAAAAAAAATATGTTGAAAGAATGTGAGGTCCTTCTCTAAGGGTCAGCTTTTTATGGGAGAAATATTTGATGGCCACGTGAGGAAACCGACATATGCTGCTCTGTGGGGAGACTTTTCCTCTAGAAGCCAACTGACCTCCCTAAGGGTGTCATATCAAACCCACAGAGATTAAAACCTCCATCTAAAAGGCAGCCTTTCTAAGAAATCAAACACTGTACCACCACTCAGAGGTAGAGAGGTCAAACGGCCACACCTACTACTACTTCAGGCTTAGAACAGGGTTTTAGAAGGCACTGGAGCCCACAGAGTGTTAATTTGCTCCATTCACAGGGAAAGGTGTTTGCTCCACACTGTGTGTTTCTATTCAAAGTGCTGACTCAATATTATCAGGAGAAAATAGGATTCTAAAAAAAAAAATAAAATAAAATCTCTAACCCTCCTCTCTCTGATTGGCTTGTCTCTTTTCATCTGCTCTTCAAGAACAGAAATCTATAAAGAGGATGCAGCAAGATAGCTGAAATCAGAAGCTGACCAGAGAGCGTGACAGAGCCAAAAAGGAAGAGACAGGGAGGTTCAAAGGAAAAGAATCTTGGTTAAAAAAAAAAAAGAGAGAGAGATGATTTAAAAATCAAGAACACAGAGGGCAAATACCATTCATAAGCACTGAAGAAGTGAAAGTCACTTAGGAAGAAGGAAGAGGACAAAAGGGAAGGACAAGCCAGGTAGTTAGGCTCTCAAGAAGCTTGGAAATCAACTGGGAAATCAATGAGCAAGTATCTTCCATGTCCACCCAACCTCTAAACCCCTTACTTCCTAGCCCCTTCCCCACACACAGTCCTCCCTTATAACCTCCCAACTCATGGACCATCACAGGACCCTTACTTAACTTTCACATCTTCTGCCTCCTTCCATCCTGACCCTTCACAGTCACTGTTGACAATTACTGTCATGTGTCATCAAGTTGGAACTGACTCCAGAGCTGACCCTCTAGTAGGTTTTCAGAGACTGGATTTGAACCATGTGCCTTTGAGTTGGAAGATAACCTCCTTACCAGTAAGCCACAAGAGTGTCCTCTCTTGATAAATAACCTCTATACCTTGCTTGCTAAAAGTGAGGAGGACTTGAAGCACTTGTTTAAGGAATTGATCAAGGAATTCAGCCTTCCATATGGATTGTATCTGAGTGTCAAGAAAACAAAGATTCTTACCACTGGGCTGACAGGCAACTTCATGATGGATGGAGAGGAGATTGAAACTGTCAACAGTTTCATTTTGTTTGGATCCACAATTAACCCACTTGGTATCAGCAGTCGGGCAATAAGCAGATGCACTGCACTGGGAAAATCTGCAGTTAGGGAACTCTCCAAATTATTGAAGAGTAATGATGTCAGTTTAAGAACTAAGATGTGTCTGATTCAGGCCATGGTCTTACCAATCACTTGCTTTGCATCTGAGAGCTGGATAGTGAATAAGGATGACAGAAAAAGAATTGATGCTTTTTGGCTGTGATGTTGGAGAAGAGCACTGAACATCCCATGAATCCAAAAGAACAAACAGATAGGTCTTGAAGAGGGTGCAGCCGGAGTGCTCTTCGGAGGCAAGAATGACGAGGCTTCACCTCACATACTTTGGACATGTTGCTAGGAGCGTCTATCCCTTGGAGAGGGACATGATGCTGAGAAGGGTGGATGGTTCGGCCTAAGAAAGGAAGGCTCTCAACTAGGTGTACAGATATGATGACTGTCGTAATGGGCTCTTGTGTGTTGGGAAGGATGAGGATGACACAAGATAGAACAGGGTTCAGATCTTTTATTCATAGGGTTGCTACGAGTTGTACTCGACTTGACAGCACCTAGTAACAACAACAACAAATGGAAAGAAGCTGCATTGCAATCCCAAAGGCATGGGTTTGAACCCACCAGCTGCCCCATAAGAGGATGGGAAATTTCTTCCCATGTGATTTACTGCCTTTGAAAACCCATTGGAAGGTCAGCTATGAGCTGATGACATAAAACAACAACACACAAACAAATAAGGTGCAATTCCAGTGCAATTCTGCTGTAACTCAGACATCCCCAACAGCTCCACACATCCAATTGCATAATGATCACATTCCTTGTCTTGATATTCAGAGCTCGAGTCTCCAGTCAAGACAATTTTCTAATTCCATCTGCTCTTCCACATAACTGCTGAGGGGAATTTGAATCACCTGGTGATTTTCACCTGCACATTTTCACTCATGGTTCAGCCTCTTTAAAGAACACCAGGCCCTCCTCTCCCTTGGCAGAAACCTCTGAGTGTAACACAGTGAAGAGCACAGGTTCAAATCAAGTCGATCCAGATTCATAACTTGGCTACGGAAATCCTAGCTCTGTCAGATGCTCAGTATTTTGACTTTCTTGAGCCTTGATATCTTCATTTGTAATTTGGAGTGGAATCAAGTCTTCTCCAATGAAAGTAGGAAATGAGAAAATCTACATAATGCATGCAAGGAGGGTAGTCAAAGAAGGAGCTATTCAACTATTCATTTACTATGATTTCTCTACAAACACTTTCCAGCTGCCCCATACAATGCAATGTCTCCACTGATTTATATCATTTGCCTTCTATCAGCACTTCCTTACATAGGACCCTTCATACTTATGGAACTTCCTCCCTTTCCTCTCCCTCTAGCTCTTGCTCCATTTTTCATGTTCTCCAGCACCCAGCCCAGTCCATGGAGGATTCTATAAATGTTTATTCGATCAAATGATCTTTAATCCCCCCTAGCATACAAATAGCATTTCAGCCACAGTGATTTTTCACAGATACTCACTAGATTATATCAAGGAGGAACAGTAGGTAGGGCCTGGAGGCCAAGCAATATTAACTACCATCATTCTAATATCCAAAATAGCCCTTTCCCCAAAAATTAATTGCTCTAAGTCACACAGGAAACACAAAAGACTGATTTAAGAATCTTCCAGAATAGAGATGTTTAGCTCTAGGTTCGTCAATGTGAGTACGGGGACTCACTTTGAGTCTCAGAAGACATTTAATGGTGGCATTGGAAAATAACGAATTAGAAGTGCGTCCCCTTACGGTCAGCTTGCAGAAGGACAACGTGATGCAGGGTCAAGGCCATCCTCTGGGAGTCGATGGTGCTCAGGATCTTGGCGGCCGCAGTCCCCAGCAAAGGTTTTCCATTGTAGAGGGTGTAGTAAGTCAGCTCCGCAGGGTCCTTTGGTCCTGGCACACGCTGCATCTTCACCATCTTTGAGAAAACAGAGAGGCCATGTTTACAGGGCATATGGCATCAACCTTACATTTGACCTTGACTCACTCCTGCCAGCAGTGGGCTCTCTCTCCAAACCGCTGAAGCCTTCCGTGGCTACATGGACACACAAAGTATATTTCAGAGGTCAATCTTTGCATGCCGCCCTAACACAACACTTCAGGAAGCCTGGTTGTGGATGGGAGAGGAGACTGTAGGAGAAAGAGACTGAAAACATGAACATCTGAACAATAAAAAAACCTCAAACCACAACACTCCCAGGTTGGGGAAGAAACACTGGAGCTCTGATGTTTTCCGGCTTCCACTCAGGGCTTTGACCTCAATTAAAAATAGGCCGCTGCATTAAATCAGGACATGTTAGGTTAGTCTCAAACATGATTTTTAATTTTATATTCCTGCAACTGCCAAGAAGGGGGGAAAAATTAATGTATATGCCTGTAACTCAAAAGATGTCTGATAAAAACAGTACTTCGGGACATAATGTTCTTTTTCTAAATTAACATGTGTTATCTTTCCACATTTTAAAAGTTACACACATTTACTTCAAAAACATTAAAAATCAAGCAAAGCGTGCAGAATTGCAATAAAATAATAATCACACACAAACCTATCACAAGCTAATTATTGGTATCATTATGGAGTATTTGTTCTATTCATTATTTTTCATACTTAAATCTTTTTACAAATTATTGCACGCTGTACATATCATATAGGCAACTCTGGTGGCCTAGTGGCAAGAAGCTGCACTGTCATCTCAAAGGCACATGGTTTGAGGCCATCGCTGCACCGTAGGAGAAGGATGGGTAATCTCCGGTGTAATTAAGTGCCTCTGAAAACCCACTGGAGGGTCAGCTATGGATTGGTTCTGACTCTACGGCACACAAATAACAACAACAATATATGGAGATCTGGTGGCCTAGTAGTAAGAAGCTGTACTGCAATCCTGAAGGCACTTGGTTCCCATCCACCAGCTGCTTCAAGGGAGAAAGATGGGCAAACTCTTCCCACGTGATTAACAGCCACTGAAAACCCACCAGGGGGTCAGTTCTGACTAGATGGCATGCAATAACAACAACAACAACATATACAGTATCGTATCTGGCTGTTTTTACCTATACTGTTAAGAGATCTTAAATATAACAACAACACAAATGTTAATTTCTACACCATCTTTCAGTGCATACCTCATAAGCCTATGTAACAACTTCGTGATTACTTAGCATATTACTCATTTTCAGCTTTAACTAACACTTTATAAACACCATGCTCACTACCCATAGCTATTGAGCTCATTCTGATCCACAGCAACCCTCCATCAGGTCTGTGTCTGTAAATCGTTCTGGGAGGAGAGACCACTCTCTGAGTAGTTGCTGGATTCAAACTGCTCTACCTTTTGGTTATTATATGCTGTCACGTTGAAACCAACTCATAATTGACCCTCTAGTGGGTTTTCTGAAGCTGTAAGTTGCACAGAAGGAGACTGTTTCCCCCAATTCCCCCTTAGAATAACTGATGGATTCAATTCACATGTCTTTGGGTTGGCAGTGCAATTCCTTGCCCACCAGGCCACCAGAGCTCTCTGACCTTTTAGCTAATAGCACCATACCTCTAGAGTTCCTGAAGAATCCATACATTTTTATACCTATTTGGAATCCCACTGTACATAAAATATACTTAATCAAACCTTTGTTTTGCACATTTAGATTGTGATTAACCTTTCAATACTGTTATTAAAAACTGATAAACATTATAGTACAAAGCATTTGTCAAAATACATACTACAAAATATGAGATTAATAGGCTATAAAAGATATTTTAAAATACCTTTTACAACAAAGTTGTTCATAACAGCAAAAAAAGGAAAGTCAGTCATAGTAAAATGTACAAGTGAGTTATGACATAGTCACACAACAAAATATAATAGTGCAGTGATAATAAATTAACAGCTACTATTCATATCTATATATGTGAATGCAGAAGCCTGGTGTTGAGCAAAAGAAAGACACCACAGCATATAAAATTTAAAAATAGACAAACTGAATGGTAGACTATTTAGGGATACACATGTGGGTGTGAAAAACTACTCAGAAAATGTAAGAATGATTTAAAACACAATTCAAAAACACATTGAGCTCTCAGAAAAAGGAAGCATAACCAGAGGACACATATAAAGTGGGCCTCCAGAGTAAATACGGTAAAGGTAATATTTTTATCCTTCGAGCTATAGGTTTTAAAATTAATGTTCTTTTTAAAAAAAGTAATGTGCTTTAAGCTAGTATTTTTATACATGTTATCAATACGCTATTAAATAAAAAATAGATATTACAACTCAATAAAAAATGGACAAAAGATCATAACATTCACAAAAGAAAATAACTGAAATAACTAAGCACATAAAAGTTTGCTAAACATCAAGAAACTGCAAATGAAAACCACAGTGAGACAACATTATACAATGACCAGAATGGCTAAAACTAAAGACACTACCAACCGCTGAAGAGGACTGGAGCAACTGGAACTACACACCCTGGGGAGAAGATGTACGATGAAAATGATCTGGCAGTCTCTCCGAGGACTAATATATACTAACTATGAATTAGCAATTCCATGCCTATTTACTAAAGAGGAACAAAAATGTATGGTCATAAAAAGATTGATGGAAGAAATGTTCACAGTAACTTTATTTAAAATAGGTAAATCCTGGGAAAAGCTCAAGTGTCTTTCAGCAGAAGAATGTATACACAAACTACAGCGTATTCATTCAAGGAAAGATTATTCAGTGGTAAAAAAAATACACTGGCTAATTCAATGACTGATGAATTTAAAAAACCCTGCCCAATCAAAAAAGCACTACATAAAATTACATATTGTATGTAGTATTTATATGAAGTATATACTATCTACAGTATTTTTATGAAGTACACCCAATATAGTATTTGCATTTATATTCCATTTGTATAAAGTGCTTTCAATTCCAACTTTTCAGTTGCAATAATCACAGTTTAGATAAACCTCACTGGCTATAAGTGAAATTAATTTATAGTTACATATTATCAAATATAAAACAATAACCTGTAATAGAGTCTCAATTAGGAATATACAGATCTACATTATATAATTAGAACATTTTTTCCTGTACATTTGAAAGTACTCCCAATAAAATGTTAGTGGAAAATAGATATTAAAAACAAGGTTCTTTCAGACATTTAAATTTAGAAAGCAGCATATTGAGCAAAGTTAAGATTTCTCTGCTGCAAGTATTTTTAGACATTTTCGGATGCATATATGCTCTGGATCTTAAGGAGGGGAGAGGAGGTGTGAATTTACCTCAACTGATGTGACCAGGAGCTATTCGCATCAGGACTTCTCACAGGGTCATTTTCTGGATACTATCTGAGAAGCACAGCCCTCAGCCATACATATCTGTCTACCTCTGGGTATCCAAGATGAGTCCCTAGGAGTAAATCTGGTGCCTTCTGGAAGGCTTGTGGTGGCTCAACTGATTTCTACAATTGTCTCCCAATTTACTGTATTTTAAAGTATCCATTTCACTGTATCCTCACCAACACTGGATAGTACCATTTTTCTAATCCTCAGAGGAGGCAAAAAGGACATCATGTTAACATTGGCATTACTTTGATGGAACTCTGGTGGTCTAGTGGGTAAGCAGCTGTGCTGCCAACCCAAAGGCAAGTGGTTTAAATCCACCAGCAGCTCCATTAGACAAAGATGGTTAATCTCCTCCTGTGTGATTTACAGCCTCTGAAACCCGCTGGAGGATCAGCTAAGTTTCTGTTTACACTCATGCAAATGAGGTTTTATTATAAATGGAGTTACATATTTTAAAATGTTGGTTAGCCATATGCATTTATTTTTAGGATTAATTTTATCACCCAACATATCAACCAGAGAAATATCTTCAAATCTACATATTCCTGAAGATAGCTCAGCTTTTCAAATTATGTGGGTCCTGAAGAAAGGCCTCTCTGGGTAGAAAGATGATGGAAGCTGTGTAGAATGAATTTTACTCAGGGAAGCCTGGACATGTTATTAATTTTCCTAGTGGGAAAGAACAACCAGGCAGAGGGTGAGCGAGCTCTCAAATATCTAAGAATGTCACTCTATTTAGATTTAACAGCAAATAGCTTGTATCAAGCTTTCTCCAAGGGTGAAGCTAGAAGGTGATCTTCATCTTCTGTAAATTAGGGATTTGTAGAGTCAAAGGCCCTGTTTCGGACCTTCCCAGCAGTTACAGGGACAGAGTGTACCAAACACTTAGAAAAAACGAGGCAAAGAACATTTCTTTCAGACACAGTGTGTTAGGCTTCTTCACCTTCCCCTTCTCATTATTGTCAAGTCATAGCTGGTCCTCCATCAGATCTGTGAGGCTTTAAGACTGTCCATACTTGTCCCAAAGGAGTCACTGATGGATTCAAACTGCCAGAGAAGCATGGCCTTTAGGTTAGCAGCACAACTAGTTTACAAATAACACCATGTTTGCTTGTTAGTTCTTTTCCCTCCTCAGCTGAGGCAAATCCCATTTCACACCTGAGTCCTAGAAACTTCCTTCTTTTCATTTGAAGAACTGTAAATGTCACAGGTCGAATGGAAGAGAGGATCCTAGAATGCAAAACTAACCTTTGCTTTGCCTTATAATGAGGTTACTGGAGACCACGAAAGGCTTGCAAATTCACAACAACATCTAATAGGGCAAGAAGCCAAATTCACCAACTGTGAAAGGAGCGACCTGGTGGAGTCTCATTAGGGCATCCTAAGTTACATGGGGAAGTTTTATCCCAGAAGACAGGGCTTGTTTGTATTTGAAGACTGCTTCAGAACCAGATCTCCAGGCAGACTGTATGAACATCTACAAACCCAAACCATATCCACTGCCATCAAATCAGTTGCAAATCACAGTGACCGTCCATGGAGTTTCCAAGGCAGTAAAACCTTATGGAAGGTGAATGCCTAGCATTCTCTCATGGAGCCCCAGGAGTATATGAAGCACCCCGCTCCGGTTAGCCGCTTGACACTGTGCTCCTGGGGCTCCTTTAAAATGCTCCCTTGTGGATAGTGGGACCACCTAGTGGTAAGAAGCTGCACTGCAATCCCAAAGGCACATGGTTCAAATCCACCAACTGCTCAGCAGAAAGATGGGCGATCTCTTCCTGTGAGATTTACTGCTTCTGAAAACCCATTGGAGGGTCTTCTATGAGTCAGTTCTGGCACACTAAAGCAACAGACAATGGGATGTATTGTATGTCTGTTATGGTTAAGTTAGACTCCTGATGTGGTCAGTTTTCAAGGGTTCACACCTCAGTGTGGTCCACCGGATTCCTACTAGGAAGTTCACATTTCAGCGACATGTATCTTGCTACTTAGATCTTTACCACTTAAGAAGTGTTAGAAATGGGATCTCATTAGAAAAACTTGTAGTATTCAAGATAGTAGTATTCAATTAGATGGGTGAGACTATTATAGAATAACTCTCTCCCCCCTTTGCGTGACTAGATATGACTCAAACTAAAGGAAACTCATTGTGTGGAGATGACTCTTCGTCAATCCTCCATTGGGTTTCTGAGGCTGTAAATCACATGGAAGGAGACTGATGGAAGGAGACTGTCCATCTTTCTCCTTGGAGCTCTTGTTGGTGGATTCTAACTGCATTTGGATTAGCAGCACAACTCCCCACAAACTAGACAACCAGCATCCCCTGGACATAAAACTGTTGTTGGGTACCATGGAGTCAGAACCGACTCATAGCTGATCCTCCAATACCTTTTCAGAGGCAGTAAATTGCACAGGAGATTAATCATATTTCTCCTGCAGAACAACTGGTAGATCAGAGATGTGAACTATATGCCTTTGGGTTGACAGAGCAGCTCCTTACCTCTAGGCCACCAGAGCTCTCTAGACATAAGACTAGAGAGGCTTAAAGCCTCTACCCTTGGAAATGACTACAGTCTCAATTGGGTGCCCTCAGGAACACACCCTGAAGAAGTAAGCGCTTCGCTGAGGAGCAATGGTTCAGTTGGGATGTACAGGGAATTGACAAGAAGGCAAGGAGGGGGAAGGGGCCGGTAGAGATGCGGTATTAAGTGGGCTATCACCATGTGTGACTACAGCTAAATGCACAGGAACGCTCTGGAAATGAAATACAACGCACTTGAGCACTTTCCCGGCCACAGGATGAGGAGAATTCTGGAGGATGTTCTATGGAGCCCTGCTAGTGTAGTGGTGGGCTATTAACCAAACGATCACTGGTTTGAACCTGCCAGCCATTCTGCAGGAGAAAGAGGAAGTGGTCTTTGCACCTTAAGATTTACAGACACAGAAACCTGGTGGAGAATTTCCGTGACTTGGGACTGACTTGACAGCTGTGGCCTCAGGCTTTTGTTTGCTTTACAGAATGTGGAAACTGGGGCATTTATGCTCCTGTGTTTACCAGTCATTGGTTAATTCCTGGGCACTTCTGGCCAACCATGGTGAGAGCAAAGTGGGTTCTGGTATCTCAAGAGTCACCCTCAAATTAAGATGGAGCTGCTGGCTGTTGCTGGAAGTCTGCCCAGCATGCATGGAAATGCTAAAGCAATGTGTGCAGAACACGAATATCATCTGCTCCCTATGGGCTCTCATGCCCAGTGGTAAACCAGGAGGTTTCTGCTTGCTAAATTTGAGTAAATAACAGGCCCCTACACCTAGAGTATTAGTGTATCTTCCATGAGTTGTTTTTTTAAAAAAACCTCCAAACTCACTGTTCACGACTCAAGCCTCTTCTGATTCATAGCAACCCTCCACTTGGTCCTGAGGTTATACATTTTAAAGGACAGAAACTGCCCATTTTTCTCCCAAGAAGAAATTCAACTGCTGTTGAATCTGAACCATTGGCTATGACAAGCCTTTGAGTTAGAAGCACAATGTGATATGAACTATGTCATCAAAGTACCCTCTCCTCCTAATTCACAGTATTGAAAGGGGAAACCCAGTTGCTGTTGAGCTGATTGCGACTTTTGGAGACTCCACATGTGTGGAACAGAACTGCACTCATAGGGCTTTCAAGGCTGTCACCTGTTAGATGTAGACTGCCAGGCCTTTCTTCCAAGGCACTTCTGGGCAGGCTCAAGCTGCCAACCTTTCAGTTAGCTGTTTAAATTAGCCACTGATGCCAGCCAGAGATTCCTGGTCGCTGACGATCAAAGGGTTTAAAACAAGCAAGAGCTGGGATTTCATCAGGCCTATGCAACAGGTGGATATGATTAATAATTGTTTTACAGAATTTTTTGGTAAATAGTGCTTGCTCACTAATGACTTTCTGCTTAATAAATCCATGCCTGTGTGCACAACCTGTTCTGAGACCTCTTTTCCTTACAGCCTAGCAGTGGGGCATGGGGTGAGGTGCTATCTCTCACCGCCTCCCCCTTTATGGTTTTAATTGTTATGTCCATCAACATCCAAAACTTAAAAGCAGCACTGACTAGAGGCTTGATTAGCTTGCAGCATAAGTGGCTTCTATAGTCTTGAGAAGCCCATGCCCCCACATTTATAAGAAAACCCCGGAAGTGTGGCATGCGCTCACCTGCACGGTGTAGCTTCCCAGGGTGGTGGCCCGTTTAAACCTCCGGCCTTGCTGCTGAGACATCATGAAGAGCTGGGCCAGGCGCTGCTCCATGACCCGGGCGAAGCTCTGGTTGTGCAGGCCCACCAGCGAGTTGTCCACACCCTGAAGCACTGCAAGGGGAAAGGCAGAAGGTGGAGGAGATGCTCAGAGGGCTGGTGCCCCGCCGACAGCACCATAACCACCACCGGCCCTGCACTAGCCTCTGAGCGCACTGTGCCCTGACCATGCTAAGTCTGTACCACCCTTACCTCACTCTACCTTCCTAGAAATGCTGGGAGTTAGAAATCATTATCCATACCTTATAGACGCCACGGAAGTTAAGTGACTTGTCTGAGGGGTCACACACACAGCCAGTAACTAGCAGAGTCAGAGGCCAAGCCCAAGCCTGCATAAATCAAAGCTTGAGCTGTGACAGCCCTAATACTGTTTTACTGAATGTAGTTTCATTTTAGAGATCACATGTTGTCACAGATCTAGTTGTTCATTACTCATTCAGTACCATCAAATCGGAGCTGACTCATAGCTGACTCTTCAGCCGGTTTCAGAGACTGTAAATCACAAAGAGATGGTCTATCATTCTCCCTCAAAGCCACTGGTGGATTTCAAACCCCAGAGAAGAGTAGCTTTTAGATCAGTGGTGCAATTAGCTGTGGACGATTCCAGAGCTCCCTTAGACCAGCTGTAGGAATGGCTAACTGGCTTTTTACTGCTCCCCACTCATAAGCCTTGGTTCAAGGCTGCTGCTGTTCTATTTTCCCACCTCTCCAGCTTTGCTGAGAAGTCTGAGCTCTTTGCTATCACTCAGCCCCTCACGTCAGGGTAAACCACCCTGTAAGGTGTCCTTGTCTCTTCCTTCTCTATGGGATCCTTTTGTGGAGCACCTCTAAACATGCCCAGTTTCCCCTTAGGCACTCGGCCATTCAGGAAGCAGGACAGCTTCACCGAAAGACAGACTCCTCTCCTAGTTTTAGTATTTTCTAACTGCCACCTAACTAGGAGCTTTCTGAGTCTAACTCCTTCTCCATAAAAGGAATAAGAAAGTCTACATCCCAGATTACACATTCCTAATGGGCTCTGAGGTTTAAGTGACAAAGGAGGGGTAAAGAGACTTATCCCAGTGTCTGGTGTGTAGAAGACAAATGGAACTCCCTTTCTTCTCAGCCCTTCCCCTACCCCACACAGCTCCCATAAAATCAGTGGCTGTGCTTATCTCTCTATATCTGGTGTATCTGTAATCAACAAGCAAGTCATTCATGATGGGATTCCAGGCAGCGGCAATTCCTGTACCAGTGACCAGAGGCCACGGACTGGGTCTTGGGAGGGCTCTGTTAAACAGGGTTTTCAATGGCGAATTTTCCAGAAGTCGACAGACAGCCTTTCTTCTGAGCTGCCTCCCGGGAACCTTGAACCCCTAGTCTTTTTGGTTAGCAGCCAAATACATTAACCACCTGGAGGATTTTAATGAATCCTAGAGCCCTTCTAAAGAGCCCTGGTGGGGTAGTGTGTAACATATCAGGCTGCTAACCAAAAGGTCTGTGGTTCGAATCCACTAGCTCCATGGAATAAGAATGGAGAGTTTCCGTCTATAAAGATTTATAGCCTCAGAAAGCCAAGGGAAGTCACTAATAGTCAGAAGTGACTTGATGGCAGTGGCACAGCCTCCCTAGGACTACTGGGGTCACTTACTTGGGGGAGACTGTCTTTTTTTTTTTTTTTTTTCTACGCTTAAAGTGTCGTCCTTTCTTTACATCGCTTAGGAAGCACATTTCATCACTAATGCACAGATACTGCCTTCAAACAGTATCTCCTTGGTCACAGATGCTAAAAACAACTCCCATCTTTCTAAAGAGAACAAAGTGTACATGGTCTGGGCACATAATACAAGGTTATTCATTTAGAGAATTTGTTCTACTACAGCCCAGCCAAGGCTCATTAATACCACCCATCCGCCGGGATATGAAAATAGCTCAGATATAAAAGACGTGTTGTTATGGCATCCAGGGCGATGGGGTGCCACCAGAAGCCAACATTAACGATGATCACATTCGACTCAGGCCAGATCAAGCACCAACGATGAGGAGATACATGGAAGGATGTTTAAAAGTGATCAAGAGAGAAATAAAACCCACAGCTGGGTCTCAGAAATTACTCCTTTGAAGCCATAAATGGCAAATAATCCCCACGGAGGTTGTAAAGCAGCCCTCTTTCTTGGGCCCTTGTGAGCAGCTCCAAGCTCATCTGTAAACTGCATTCCTGCAAAAAGGCTAAGACACTCCTGCATTGTCCTCGCTGTGTGGGGTCTCCGGGGGGTCGGGGGGGGGGGGCTTAGGATCCCTCCTTGCAGAGCTGTCAGTACCAGAAAGAGCTGGATTATCTCTTGGCACCAAAAAAGAAAGCATGTGTCCATGGTTCAAAGTGGCCTCCCTGGCAAAATTATATAACAGATTGTTCAAGTACTACTACTGAGTTCTTGTCTTTTGACTTTGGGATAGAGTCAAAAAAGGTGATACAGAACTGTAAAGAGGCATCGTCACGGGTTATATTATGGTGATTCTCCCTGAGAGTCAAAGGATAGACGTAAAATAAAGGCAATAATTTAAATAAAGGCTTCTGAGTGAAAATGGGAATCATAAGAAGGCAATGGGCCACGTGCTGTTACAATGTGGGGCTGGTAACTAGTGTCACGGAACATGAAAGCATACGAATTGTTGAGTAGAAAACCAGTGTGATCTGTCAATTATCACTGAAATAATAATAAAAAGTAAAAATAATAATAAAAAAATCAAGCCTTTAGAGAAGTCATTCTTTGTTCTTGTTGATTCTGACTCAAGGCTCACTCACCAGTGGGTTTGTAAAGCTGTAAATCACACGAGAGGAAATGGCTCAGTTTTTTTTCTCCTAAGGAGCAGCTGAGGGATTTGATCGCAGAGAAGCACAGCCACTGGGCTGGCAGCACAATTCTGCCACCTTAGCTCCCTAGAGGAGTCAGTCAGAGAAATGCAAATCAAAACCACAGGGGCGTACCATTCACACTCAGGAAACCTAAACAAAACCAGAGCCACTGTCATCAGGAGAATTCCAACCCATAGCGGCTCTCTAGGGCAGGGCTGAACTGCCCCTTAAGGCTTCTAAAGCTGCAAGAAGCCAACTGCCATATCTTCCTCCCAAAGAACCATCAGTGAGTTTGAACTGTCCACCTTATGATCAGCAGCTGAGCACTGAACCACTGCATCACCAGAGCTCCATCACACCCACCAGGATCGCTATAAAGCACACACGTTTGTTTTATCACAGTTTAACAATACACTGTACTGCGGTTAATGCTATACAACAATCTTCTCACTTTCTCCCTCTAATTCTCCTTTCCATCAATTCTTCTGTCTTACCCACTCCTGTCTTCTAAACTTTCTCCTTTAGCAAATGCTGCTCTTTTGACCTTACATAGTTGGTTATTCTAAAGATCTCTTATCCTCTTTTTAATTTATAGTCATATTGGGCTCTACGATGAAAATGATCAGTTTTCTGTACTTTAGCTAAACTGTTTTACTTGTAGTTGAATTCTACAAAGTTAGAACCGAAAAACGTAGAGCTCAGCTTCTATCATCCCTCATTCTAAAGGTGGGAGGGGGTCTGTGTGACATGCTCAAAGGCACATTAGGTTAGTAAACAGCAGAGCTGGGACCAGAGGAGATCCTTCGATTCAAGGGTCTAGGACTTCTTGACTCTTCCAGTTGTGTGCCATCAAGTTGGAACCGACCCATACGTGACCCGCCAGCAGGTTTTCAGAGACAGTAAACTGCACTGGAGGAGACTGCCAATCTTTCTCCTTTGGAGCAGCTGGTGGATTTGAACCACATGCCTTTGGGATTGCAGCCTAGCTTCTTACCGCTAGGCTAACAGAGCTCCTTGGTTCTCGCTGGGGAAATAAGAAGGAGCCCTGGTGGCACAGGGGTTAAGAGCTCATCTCTTAACCACCTCCCATCTCTTTTGTGAATGATGCGGCAGGTGGGAGATGCTGCCTACAGGTTCACTAAAGGACTGGAGAAAGATGTGGCAGTCTCTTCTGTAAAGAGTGCAGCCTTGGAAATTCTATGGGACAACTTTATTCTGTCCTATAGGTTCACTGTGAGTCAGAATTTGGAAGCAATGGGTTTTTTGAGGGGCAGAAAACAAGTTAATGGAATAAATTTAAGACTGGCTTTCATGTCTATGAGGGAGTAGCACGAGTTTCAATATTCCTGTCTTGCCTCATCTATAAATCTGATCATGAACCATAAATTGCCACTGGTTCTCTGTAAAAAGGGGCACACGATTCATCTGAAGGCAAGAAATCTGCATGAAAAGAAGGACTTGCACTCTGGGAGGGTGAAGTATATATGATGTTCAAACACATATTTAACATAAATTTGGTTAGAAAACAAAAAAGTTTTCTAAGACTAGACTCAGGGCCAACCTTACCTTTCTGTTAACTGACATCACAGTATTTCCAAACAAGTCCCATTCATGGACACTGGAGACTAGGACTTCAACATATTACTGGCAGGGGATCGGGGACGAGTGCACCATTCAATCCATATACTATTTGAACTAGTTTAAGTTAGGTTAGAAACGGTATAAATTTACTCCTAAACACCTTGACTGACAGCAGTGGTGACTGACTGCTGGAGAGTTAAGAATGGAGTGGTTATTTATTGAAAGGGATATGGGTTTGTAGAGGTTCAGCAACACAGCTCAAAGCCATCTTCATGTCTCGGTCTCCCAAAGTGTCCTATCTCTTTTGTGAATGATGCAGCAGGTTGGAGGTGCTGCCTACAGGTCCACAAAATGGTCCTGGACCAAAAGGAAGGGAGGTGGGTCATCCTGAAGCTAGTTCCAGTCCCTCCTTGTTTTTCTGAGTTGTTGTTGTTATGTGCCATAGGGTCACTTGCGACTCATAGGCACCCTATGTACAAGAGCCCTAAATGCCATGCTATCCTGTGCCAACCTCGCTGTCTCAAACACACTTATTCCCACCACTCCAGTCACAGAATCGATTCATCTCATCAAGGGTCTTCCTCTCCTGTGCTGTCCCTCCACTCTCCCAAACATAATGTCCCTCACCAAGGACCAGTCCCTCCTTGCAACATGCCCGAAGTATGTCAGACGAAGCTTCAGAATCCTTGACTCAACTTTCTGAGTACCAAGTACAAATTAACTGGTCCAAGCAGCCCCAGACACCGTAATGAAGACCACAGTCTAATCTAGCTACCAAACAGCAAAACCAGCACTTGGTTATATAAGTGAGTGGGCAAGCTACGTCCTAGGAGAATCCTGGCGAGACCAAGTATGGATTTTCTAATTAAGATATGTCATTAGAGAGGCAGAGCACATGAGGAAGAGATGAAACAAAACTGTTCAAGACACATGCCCTGACTTTAAGAATGGATGTGTTATTAAACCTTTCTTTAAAGTAAATAGAAAGGGGGATACTGAAAAAGCACCTTGCAAGGGAAACATGATTTTGTAAATGTTACATAATCTGCTGGCTTCAGAAATGCCTTGTTGGGTTATCACTGTCTCTCTTGGGCATACAGTGCTATTTTTTTCTTTTTTAAAATCTATGTTCTTTGGGCTTGCCTTCTTAGCAGGTAAAATAATCTCCATGTACCCACGGCTCTGCAGGGAAGAAATAAAAGCAATTTTATGCAATATAGGAGAGATTGCAAGCAGGCTTCATCAAGCCGGGCGTTCACGCACCTTAATTAGTATTTTAGGCAGCAGCCTACCTATAGGTAGTTCGGGGTTGCAAATGAAGAAAAAACTAGGGTAGAGAAGAGGGAAGTGTGGGTCTTCTATGACTTTCAGGATCTTTCTTCTCCCTCCAACTTCTTTCCCTTCATGGATGGTTATTTTTTCCCCTTCTACTGTATTTCCCCTCTTGTTCTCAATTGTTGCTTCTCTGATTTTCAGAGCTCCTGTCTGGCTTTTTTTTTTTAAAAAAAAAAAAACAAAACTCTCACCAAACAAAAACTTTCCTGCTGTTTCAGAGAGCTCAGCTGGGAAATGTCAAGAGGAAAAAAAGCCACTCAAACACCCTTCCACTTCCATTCGCCTACACCATCAAGACATGCCTGGGCTCCCCCTCCCCCCTCCCTGTCAGTGTGGGTGTGGGACTCATGCCAAGAGAGAAAGTGCATGCCCAGCCATCCTCCCGCTTTAGTGTGGGTTTTGTAGGGCCGTACAGAAAGGCCTAACATCTGTAAATAGATAATGGACTCAACAGCGTCTCCCCTCAGAGATATAGAATTCCTCGTCTCTAGTATATTGAATGTGTTAAGAAATGAAGTCTTTGAATTGTTAGTTAACAGGTGGTCACATCAGAGGAGGGTGGGTCCTAAGCAAATTTTATAAAAGAGTAGAAAAGGCACAGAGCGACAGACAAGAGGACTGTGGCCAGGTGATGCTCCCCACTCGTGGTCGTCCTCTATCAGGTTTCTGAAGCTGTAAATCTTAACAGGAGCAGACTGCTTTTCTTTGTCACATGGCACAGCTAGCGGGTTTGAACTGCTGACCATTCCGTTAGCAACCCACTATGCCATCATCAGGATTCCATGGATATTTTATATAAATGAGATCTGACCTTATTTGTCCTTTTACTGAGAATGATTTCCTTTAAAAATTGTTTTTGGTAAAATAAAAAAAATTGTTTTTTGAAAAAAAGATTGTTTTTGATTGATTTCAGTGAAGGTTTACAAAACAAATTGATTTTCCACTCAACCATTCATAAACATTTCATTTTATAACATTAAACACAACACCTACCATGTACTCTCACTTTTCCCACTTCCTCCCCGTAATTCCCATTTTCATTAATACTCCTATCTTATCTCTTCCTGCCATCAGGACTTTATTGTTAGGCAAATGCTACTCTTTTGACTTTATATAATTGGTTATTTCAAGCATTGAGTGTTTCCCTGATACTACTGGTCACCTAATAGGCCTGTGTATTGTTTGGCTACAGTTGAACCACAGCATCAAGTTTTGTTCTGGGTTCAAAGTGTGACTGGGGTCACAGGCGTAGGGGTTTCACAGTCTTTATCAGGTCAGTAAGCCTGGCATTTTTGTGTGGTTTTGGGTCTTCTTCCACATCCCCCCAACAGTTGCCAAATCTGTGACCTTCTCCTGTGATCCAGCCCTTTGCGAGGGGTCAGTGTGGTAGCTGGGCACCAACTAATGCCTCTGGTCTCAGGGTCATAGGAATTGAGGTTTCAGAACAATGCTTCCAAAGTTCATCTAGATCATGTTATTGTTCTGCCACTGAATCAACACCGACCCATAGCTGACCTCCAGAGGGTTTTTAGAGGGAGTAAATAAATCACATGGGAGGAGATCTTTCCCTTATAGAGCATTTGGTGGATTCAAACTGCATGCCTTTGGGACAACTTCTTACCACTAGGCCACCAGAGCTCCCTATGTTGTTGGGTGCAGCTGAGTCAAGTATAACTCATAGTGACCTAATGGACAACAGATCTGAACCCCGTCCTGTCCTGTCCTCACATCTCCTGACACACTGAAGCCCATCACAGCAGTCACCGCGTCAATCTACCTGGTTGAGAGTCTTGCTGTCTTTGCTATCACTCCACCTTTCTTACCATCATGCCCCTCTCCAAAGAATAGCCCCTCCTACCAACATGCCTGAAGTATGTGAGACAAAGCCTCATCATTCTTGCCTCCAAAGAGCACTCTCTCTGGCTGCACACTCTCCAAGATATAGTTGCTTGTTCTTTTGGCCATCCATGGAATGTTCAGCACTCTTCTCTAACACCATAGTTCAAAGGCCTCTTCTTCTGTCACCCTTACTCATTGTCCAGCTCTAAGATGCACAGCAAATGATCAGAAAGACCATGACCTCAATCAGAAGCACTTTAGCCCTCAAACTGATACCATTACTTCTCAGTAATTTGGAGAGGCCCCTAGCTGCAGACTTTTCCCAATACAATCTGTCTCCTTATTTCCTAACTGCTGGCACCAAGGGTGTTAATTGTGGATCCAAGTAAGATGAAGTTGTTGCCAGTTTCAATCTTTTCTCCATCTATCACGATGTTGCCTGATGGTAAGAATCTTTGTTTTCTTGACTCTGAGATGCAGTCTATATTGAAGGCTGTATTCTTTGATCCTCTGAACCAAGTGCTTCAAGTCCTCCTCACTTAATATAAGAACTTTTAAAAGATTTATCTTTACGACTGGATAATAATCCATTATAAATAGACCACATTGTGTCATCTGTTCATGGACACTTTGGTTGTTTCCATCTTTTGGCTGTTGTGAACTCTGGTGTGTGACATGTAGCTTTAAAAACCAAACCAACTTGAGAACATGAAGAGGGGATGATTAAAAAGACAAGAGATTACCTGTAATCACCCAGTAGTCTCGAGTTGTCTCTGATATGTCAAGGTTGGGGTATTCCAGTGCTAAAACAAATAGGAAAAACATCAACTAGCATCAATAAGTTATGTAAATATACTCAGTGAAAAGAAACACAGGAACCAGTCTGGAACAGCTCCATCTTTGGTCTTTTACCAAGGATTTTTCAGGGCTGAAGCTTGACAGCATAAAATTCACAGCTCAAATTTGTTTTAGCTATAGCTTTATCTTAAAAATTATCCAGGCATCCCTAACATTATTACGAATGATGGTCTCCCAAATTGATTTTTCCCATGCCAAGAACCAAGTTCAATAGCCAAATATTTGTAATATTTAACTCCATATTAATTTTCACAAGTATAGTCAAAATTAGAGCTAATATCTATAAAAGTTTTATATCACTGTGCCTGGCACATAGTAAAAAGCTCAATAAATCCTGGCTGTTGTTAATATAAAAGTATCTAGACCATTAAATGAGACAAATTCTTTGCCTTCTGCCATGTGACATCTGGGCCTCTTTTATAACATCATTGTTTCAATAAAATCTAGAATCATCTTTCCTCATTAAATGGAAATTTTCCAAAGCTTGCCATTAAACAAACAGTCCAAAGAAGTTCTGAGTGGTCACTGTATGCTAATAAGTACACTGACACACACTGTCTCACTTATTTACAGTACTGAAAACAACCCCAGGAGGAAATTATGGGATGGATTTAGATAATAGGCATTTTTTAAAAAGGGAACAAAAAGAACATTGGCAGTGACCTTGAACAAGGTACCAAAGATGAGATTGAAGAGCACAGTCCTTTTCTTCTTTGGCCATCAAGTAAGTGTTTGGGTACAAAATGTAGGCTGCATCATCTTCCAAGTCTATGTCTGCTGCATGGTAATGAGATTTATGTAACTGAAGCATTAGAGGAAGTCAAGGCCACAAGACTGTGAGGACTTGCTCAAGGGAAGGCATGACACTAATTGCAAATACATTTATTGCATTATATTGATGGCCAGGGCAGGGGCTGAAGGACCAAGAACATCTGCTGGAGACAGACGTGAGGGGAGCAGGACCAAGGCCCTAACAGGCCGTGGTGGGAGCTCCACAGGCTACACCTGGGTTCAATGTCAGGTTCCATCTCCCACGAGCTATGCGAGAATTGGCGCCCGTTAATCTCCTTGGTGCTTTAGCTTTCTCCTCTGCCAAATGAGGTAATTATGCACCTCCCTGGTAAGGCAGCTGTAAAGATTAAATGTGTTGCTGGCTATGTGAAGGTAAAGTCACACGGTGAGTATGCAGGTAGGCGGTGCTAGCTTGGTTTTCAATGCGCGATGAACTTGTCATCAAGTCAACCACAAATACTATCTATTTCAGTTGTCGTTTTAAACAAGAGAGGTGGCATGTGACCTGGCACCTAGGAGGCTTTCACAGAGGTCTGCCACGTGGAGACAAACACCTGCTGCTGTAGAATCAATTCGGACTCATGGTGACTCCATGTGTTACACAGCAGCACTGTGGTCCAAAGCTATTTGCAAAAGCAGATCCCCAGGTCTTCCTTCCAAGGTGGTACTGAACCACTGACCGCTGGTTAGTAGCCAAACTCTTAGCCCTCTGCACCATCCTGGAACTCCTCAAAAGGGGACCTTGGCGGGGGGGGGAATGGAGCTCCCGTAGGTCACGGACGTACTCACGTTCGGCAATGGTGAGCGGCGGGTAGGTGAGGTAGAATCCCACCAGCTCAGCTGAAAGCTGGCTGAGGAGGCTGCTGGCCACAGTGCCGTTGAGGAACGTGCTCTGGTTGCCCACCACGTAAACCAGCGTAACTGTCTGGGAGGCGTTGGATGTGCTCACAATCTGGATTGACACAGGAGGAAAGGGGAGGGAGACATGCCAAATAAGATGAGGGTCTGCTTCACGGAGGCCGGGCGTGGAGGAGGGTAGGCAGAAAGTGAAGGCAGGGAAGAGAGGGAGGTGGGAAAAGAGCAAGGGAGAGACAAGAATAAATAATAACAATCACCATTTACTGAGCGCTTTCTGCGTGCCAGGCTTTGTGCAAAGGCAGAGCACGTTTAATACTCATCACAGCCTGAGGAGATGTATACAAGTTATGACTTTTTTCATAGGTGAAGAAACTGAGGCCCAGAATGCTCTAGGGACTTGCCCAAGGTTGTACAATTAATAAGTTGCAGGGTTAGAATTCTAACCCAGGAAGTCTCATGTCTGAATTCAAAAGCACTGTCATTCATGTATTTCATCTGGGGGCGAAATTGGAACCAGTGCATTGGAGATTGATAGGAGGGTGCAAGATTGCACCATTTCCCTCTGTTGAATGAAGGACGGCTGTGGGTCAAAGCTCACTCCATGGCACCTAACAACAACAACAAACTAGAAATTCCAGAACATTGAAGCGTGCTCACATGGAACCTATAGAGAGCAGAAGGCAGTGATTTAGACACAGCGGGATACAGCATAGTTTTAAAATTAGCAAAGGTATATATCAGGGTCACATCCTTTCACTGTATTGGTTCAATCTGTATGTGAGGCTAATAATCTGAGAAGCTGGACCACATGAAAAGAATATGACACCAGGATTGGAGGAAGACTCATTAACACCCTTAACAGCTGAAAGTGAAGAGGACTTGAAGTACTTATTGATGAAGCTTTCAGGATGGACTACATCTAAACATTTAAAAAAACAACAAAAATCGTCACAACTTAATCAATAAGCAACACCAAGATAAAAGAAGAAAAGATTAGGGAGCTCTGGTGGCCTAGTGGCAAGAAAGTGTACTGCAATCGCAGAGGTGTGTGGTTTGAATCCACCAGATGCTTTCCTGGAGAAGGAGGGACAATCTCCTCCTGTACCAGTCAGATCTGATTTGATGGTACACAGACAAAATAAATTTTTTTTAAAAAAAGAAGAAAAGACTGAAATCATCAAGCATCTAATTTTATTAATCAAATCAACACCCATATACACAATAATCAAGGATCTCATTTTACTTGGATCCACAATCAATGCCCATATAATCAAACAACATACACTGGGCAAGTCTGTTGCCAAGCACCTCTTTAAAATACTGAAGAGCCAGGATGTTGCTCTGAGGCTTCATGTGCATGGAACTCAACTCAGGGTCTTTCTAATTAGCACATTTGCTTGAAAAAGTTGGACAATGAATAAGAAAGATTGAGGAAGAATGGGCAGCTTTGAATTCTGGTAGAGGAGAAGAATATTGATGATAACACAGGCTGTCAGAAGAACGAACGAATCTGTCTTGGAGGGAGTACAGCCAGAGGGCTCCTTGGAAGTGAGGATGGTGAGTCTTTGCCCCACAGGCTGGGTGTGAGCAGAAAGAAGTCCCTACGGAATATCACACGTGGTAAAGTTGAGCATCAGCAGGAAAAGGAAGACCCTCCGAGAAACTGACTGACACAGGGACTCTCCCAGCAGACTCAAACACACCAATCACTGCGAGGTTGTCACAGGATCAGGTGGCATTCTGCCCATTGTGGATGGGGTCTCTGTGAGCGGGAACCAACTTGAAAGCACCTAACAAATCACCTGGGCTTCCTTCTAGGATTTCAACATATAAAATGGGCATAAAGCAGTGACTACCATCGAGGTGACCCATAGTGAGCCACATGGATGAGAGAACTGTGAACAACAGGGTTTTCTAGAGCTGATTTTTTTTTTTAAGTAGTTTGTCAGGTCTTTCTTCATAGAGGTTCTGGGTGGACTTAAACCTCCAACCTTGTGGTTAGAGGCCAAGCATAATAACCATTATCCAGACCTATGCCCTTTGATTCTGACTCACAGTGAATCTGAGGGACAGAACAGAACTGTGCATGGGGTCACAAGGCTGTCCATTGTCAGGGAAGCACACTGCCATGTCCTTCTCCAAAGGAGGGACTGCTGGGTTAGAGGTGCTGACCTTCTGGTTAGCAGTAGAGTGCTTTAACCACTGTGACACCAGGACTCCTCTGATAATCATTATGAGAATATTAAAGTCTGCTCTAATAGGACAAGAAAAACCCCAACATCCTAAACCATCCAACTCAAATTTTTAAGAAATGTCAAAGCTCAAAGGTCTAGGAATGGACAAGTTGGTCACCAATGATAACAAAACAGACAACCGAGCCTGATTATAGACGATCCACCAAATCAACTCAGAGTTAAACCTTCCAGCAGGTTTTCTGAGGCTGTAAATCAAATGAGAGGAGATTGCCCATCTTTCTCTTGTGAAGCAATTGCTGGATTAGAACTGCCTGCCTTTGTGTTGGCAGCACAACTCCTTACTCACAAGGCTACCAGAGATCCCTATGATTTTAAAAGGAATTCAGAAATACAAACTAGCTTCTTAAGAGAGCTATCACATTCCCCTGCAGTCTTCTTATTCTGCATTCTGTTGTTAGTCGTGGTCATTTCAATTCAAGCTGGCACCATGCATGCAGAGCAGAACTGCTCTATTTGGAAGCAGATGATGAGGCTGCCTTCCAACGTCCCTCTCAGTGAGTTTGAACCACTAACTCTTCAGTTAGCAGCTGAGTGTTCCAATTTTCCATCCAAGTCAGGAGCTCCTATGAATTCCATGTGTTGCTGCTGTTGTTGCATGTCGTTGATAGTGAGCATGGAAATATTACAGGAGATGATGTGGCTTTCTTCTCTCATTTTGTCTAAGTCAGTTATTTAGTTGCTGGGAAATGAGGTTTTCTGGGTCAATGTATGGACTAAAATAGCCCGGGGAGGAGATCTGGGAGGCAGATGCTGGAGGAATAAAGAGATAGTCCACGCCTGGGTTCTGTGCTGGCATCGTCCCCTTGTCCTTTGACCCTCTCACTATCCTCCCTGTCCTGCCCTGTGGGCTCCTCTCGAGCTGCAGGTCAGGGAGCTCCAGATGACATGGGGTGAGACTAGGGAACAAACATCCAGGCCCTCGCTTGGCAGAGTCACAGCTCCCCTCGGGCAGCTCTGGCCACGTTTTCTCTCAAACAAAAATCTCACTGCTGTCAAGTTGGAACAACTCAGAGCTGATCCTCCAGCAGGTTCTCAGAGGCTGTAAATCTCACTGGAGGAGAATGCTCATCTTCCTCTTTCAGAACTGCTGGTGGATTTGAACCAGCAGAGGTACCGCCTTTGGGTTAGCAGTGCAACTCCCTAAGGCCTAGGCCACCTGGGCTCCACAGCTGCCTTAACTGCTTCCTCGCTCCCCTCCCTGGGCCAGCCCTAACTGGTACCGCCTGATGGTCCACCCTTCTCCTACATGGAACATGCCTACACTTTGAGTAACTAAGTTTCTTTACTGAACTATCCCAAATACCCTTCCTCTGCATGTGCCATCTACTTCCTGCTGGGAAATAGAGAGTCTTCCTCAGAACTTCGAGGGATCACAAATATTCCCCGGCAAACCTTACTTTGAAGAAGGCATCAAACACAGCTTTGCTCCCCAGCCCCCACCCCCATGCATTTCCCACTCTTTCTGTGAGTGGAAGTTCTTTTTTATTCTCTTGCCCAGACCCTATGTTCCCACGATAATAATAAAGGCGAGTCAGTGTCTGTGGTCAACTCTCACCTGCCTCGCTTCACCAGAGTTTTTCTTATAAACATGAAAATGGGTTTCCAACCTTTATTTCTATTATGAATATTTTATTTTTCAACAAAATTAAATCCCAAGAGCATTATGGGTACCTTACACACACACACACACACACACACACACACACACACACTCTTTGGTGGTCCTGTGGTAAGGAATTGCGCTGTCAGCCCAAAGGCACACTGTTCAAATCCAACTGCTCTGTGGTTGAAAGACAAGGAGTCAACTCCTGTGTGATTTACTGCCTCTGAAACCCACTGGAGGGTCAGTTATGAATCAGTCCCGACCCAACAGCACACAACCACAACCACAATAATAACAAGAACAACAACACAGGCAGTTCCTGGAGTATGAGCAAGATCCACTCCTTATTGTCTAAGGTAATAACCACTGCACTGGAACAGATGAAGGGAAAAACTGTTTAAAAAGGGATATATGATTAGGCATGACACATATGACAACAGCCCAGAATAAGAGGTTTATCATTGCTAGGAGGTCTAGGGGGGTAGGGGAGGGGAAATTGTGCAATAGTGAATGAATATTTTTTTAAAAAGTGAACTGGGGGAGGTGGAATGCAAAGGGGGTAAAATATGCAATGATGAATGAATGAAAATCTAACTTCTCTGTAAAAGTTTGTTAAAATCAATTAAAATAAAATTTTATTTTTTTAAAAAGAAGTTGTAGGGAAGTCAGTGCAGGTACACACAGCCCTTATTTAGCCTGCCTTTGGTGCAGGAAAGGGGCTCTGGTGGTGCAGTGTGTAGTGTGTTGCACAGCTAAGCAAAAGGCTGGGCGTGTCGGGCAGCTGGAGTCCACCAGACGGTCAGTCTCCTCCCATTAAGTGTCACGGCCTCAGAAACCGTTTCAATGGAGGGTTCCTTAGCCACAGGTACCGGCTTTCAAACAACCACCATGTAAACGCAAACAGAGCTTATCTCAAGACTTTCACTAAGTGAACACTTTATGAGACTGGGAACAAGAGGAATGGGCAAGCTTTTCTGATGGGCCAGCCCAGGGGCCTGAGTATGATGTTATCCAGGGAGCAAAGAAGAGACAGAAAATGAAAAACTTCATAAAGACATCATTTAAGCACCTGCATCCCATTGTGCCTGAAGTAAATGGACTGTGAATGCTTCATTTACATGAGCCAGCAACTTCTTTCTTTTGGCTTCTACCACATGCCACTAAGAAGGTCCTAACTGAGTTGATTGTAGTCCAGTCTCTAAAACCAATGTTGTTCATACAAAAAACCAAGAAAGGTTTACATTTGCAATGAAACATTCTTGGATGATTACCAAGGATGGAGTGGGAGGAAGAGAGGAGTAAAAATTAGTAAATAGATAATTTGTTGTTGTATGCTATTGAGTCATAATCAACTCAGAACTGTTTAAAAAGGATATATGATTAGCCATATTATGTAAGACAGTGGTCCAGAAAAAGAGGTACACTGCAAAGAGGGAAGAGGGAGGGGGCACATAGGAGGGAGGACACTGTGCAACAATGAATAAATATTTTAAAAAAAATTAAGCGGGGGAGGGGGAAGGAAAGGGGAGGGAGAAAAATGTGCAACAATGAATGAATGAAAATCCGACTCTTCTGTAAACTTTTGTTAAAATCACAGTTGAAATAAAAAAATTTTTAACACCACCAAAAAGCTGTTTAATTATATGGGAGGAGACTGCCAATCTATCTCCCGCAGAGCAGCTGGTAGATTTGAACTATGTGACACTGGGATGGGAGCTCAGCTCCTTTTCACTACGCCACCAGAGTTAACACTAAGATAGGAGAAGAGAGAGGCGATATATAATAAGGTGATTAGCCTAATACCACTAAAGAAAGGGGATGACACAGAGAAGTACATGAGAGAGTCAACAGCAAATATGGAGGCAGCCAGGAAACAGAGAAGAAGTAGGAAAAGTCTAATTACATTGTGGGTTTTATAAATAATGTTTATGAAATAAAATGTGAGAAATCAATTTCCTTTGTAAACTTTCACTCAAACCCCAATTAAAAAAAACAGAGAGCTTGGGATATAAAGCCAGTGATGTCCAAAGGAAGAACAAGCTCACTTTTTCACAGCCTCTCCAAAGTAATTAATTGTTTGCCTGGTCTTATCTCACAAAGGACTCCAGGTGCCTTACAAAGTTACATTTAATATGAGAAAATGCAATAAGGAAAGGTAACAAAAGGCAGCCTGGGAGGTTGTTACCGTGGACTTATGGGGTCTAAAAGATTAAAAAATGCAAGCAATAGGCTGGGCTCTGGGCTTCCTAACAACCAAAGCAAAAAGGGAAACAAGATTTGTAAAATAAATCACACAATTATCCATTTGTTTCAAAAAAAGTATAGTAATAAATTTAACAATTTTCAAGTGCCTCTTATAGTAGTTTGCAGGGAAGGCTTGTTACAAAGTTCCATGTAATGGTCCAGGATTACTATGCAAAAGAGGTTTCTCAAGGCCAAGGACAGCTTATTTATCTTAGTGTCCCTTCCTAGTGCCTGATAAATAGCAGGTGCTCAATAAGACTATGCTTCCTGAATACAATGAGAAGGGAGGCTCGGCTGCCAAGTGCTAACTAGGCCCATGGAATTGTAAGGTCCACAGAAGCAATCAGAAGGAAAAAGATTACCCCCAGAGGGCTGAGTCACCCTCTGATATAAATCTTAAGTCTGTGATACATTTTTAGATCCTGGGCTAATAGGAACTAAACCATAATGAGATACTTCTGTATACACTCTGGACGGGTCTAGAAAGGAAAAACTGCACATTTAAATTCATTTGTATGCTTTTGACATCATGTTGGCTTTTCTGAGAATTCATTTATGCTAAATGTCAATTTCGGAACTTCTGAGCTTAGTAGCAAAGGCTTGAGAGCAGTAGCCAAAACAAAGACATTGGATAGGACAATTAATTAGAGAAGTCAGGGGTTTGGGTTTGGTGAACTTCATTAATAAGCATTTGCCTTTGGTAGGATGAGAATACTGTTGGAAAAAAAGAGCCAGAGAAAAGTTTTTGGTGATGTGTGTCCTGTTAATTATAGGAAGCTGAAATTTACTGCACCAGGAATGGAAGTGTCCTGAGAAAGAGTTCAGGTGTTTGTCAAAAGCTTCACCAAGGACTCTATTTCTGCATTGCTTTGACACTAGACTAGTATAGTCGTTGCAATTATAGCTCTGCTTGCTCCACTGTTCTGAGGTCCAGTCCTTTAACCATTCTTTATCAATCATGTAACCTTCTGGTAGCTTCCTAACTCTGTTTTGGTTCCCTCTTCTGAATGATATTTTGAGTACTGTGTAGTGAAATATGTGTAAAATAACACAAAAGTAACAACAACAACAGAAATAGCCCACAGAAACTTAGCATGATCCCTGGCACACAGTAAGGCCTCAATATAAAAAGAGAAAGTGAATGTGTTTAAACTCAAGTGATGGGTGCCTGAATAATAACCCAATACAAATCACAGAACAGGCAAATCTTGAGAGTGAGTAGGTTACTTTATACTGAGCATGTGACATTTCTTACATATTATATTCTAGCTCAAGTAATAAAAATGGTAAATGTGTTGGTAAGCGATGAAGAAGTATCCCAGGAGAAAATAATAACATCTCAAACCTCGGAAGCAACAGAGTCAAAAAGCATCCCCAGCTGGTGTCGTCATATCGCAGACATCATGATGGCTTGGCTTAGGAGCTTAAAGCTGCACCTTCTCCTATCTACATCCTGTCCACATGCTCCAAGAACAAAGTTACAGCTACAGAGGAGGCTTTGACATGGGGACCCCAGTCACTTCTCACCAGCATGGGCCTCACGAGCGGCCTCTGCCACTACACTCTCACCTGAATTGCCAAGTTGCTTTTGGTATTCAGGACCTTGCTCTCAGCATCCTGGAATGCCTTCTGCAGTCTCTGCTCCATTGTCTGGGCAAACTTGCAGGAGTGGATGTTGTCTGATTGACTCACAAACTGCAGCACTAGAATGAGAGGCATGAATCAAAGGAGGCAACAGCGAGGCTCCACATCTTCGTGCCTTGGATTTAATAGTGGTCATGATATAAAATTAGTGTGACTTCAGACCAGAGAAATAAGACAAATTAACAAGGGGGCCAAAGTTTGCTTGTAGTTTTTAAGATGGCTCTTTTAAAAGAACTGATAACATACCAGAATTAAAAGCATGATCACATCTGACACTGCCTAATGCAAAGGATTGTGTGATTCCATTTGATTGTAATATATAGACATTTGCTGAAAGACTAAGGGAAAAATAATCTAGGAGATCACGTCTTCTACTTTGTTGGAAGGGGGAGAAATCAATTGGCATCCATTACTAACAGATTCTTTCAATTGCAGGGGTTTTCCTACTCTAGCAGTTTATAAACTTCACAGATCAGAAACACAAGGGAGCGCTCAAAAGATATTTTAAGGCACTAACCAAATCCGAAATTCCTGATCCAGTGGCAGATGGAATCCACTGCTGCAAACCACAGATTTTTCTGGACACTCAACTCTTGTTAGTGTCCACTGGTAAGACAGAAAAATATGGTACTTGGTATTCACAAACACTAATTCTATAAATTAGAAGGAAAGCTACAGTTAAGGAACATGTCTGATGAGTACAGGCTTGGAAAAGTTTAGGCTGATGTGGTAGGAACTCAGGAATCTAATTGGCGGGGACTTAGAGGATGACAACACAGGAACATTACAAGATGACTGCTCTCAGGATAATGAAATTTTTAAACAGTTGTCCTCCTGGTACCTCCCTGGTCCCAGAATGCACAGGGATTCTTTCCTTCTGAGTTTACCAAGATGTCATCGATTCAACTGCAACTCAAGGCAGCTCCATGTGTCACACTAAAACTGTGCTCCAAAGGGTTAGCGATGCCTGGCTTTTCTGGAAGTATATAAGCAGGCCTTTTATCCCAGGTTCCTATGAGCCAACTTAGACCTCCACCCTTCTGATAATGCCTTCACCAACCAGGGTCTCCTTCCTTCAGAGTGACTTGCCTGTTTTAAGCTGGAAGTAGCCTGCAGGCTCTGGGTTCCATGGGGAGGCAAGGACTGCCACAGACTGCAGGTTTGGGGTGTGCTGCTTCAGATCTGCAGTGACATTGCTGATGCCGTACACACCGAGCATTTCAATAACTACGGCGGGCAGGTATACCAGCCTTCCCTTGGTAACATAATAGCCAACGGTGACGTTGTGAGAATGTTCCACAATGTCCACCTACAAAACAAATGGACCCGCAGAACTCATTACTCATTTCCACCATCAACCACATTTTTGCTATTTCTTAGAGTCACAATTGCCACTTAGCAAGGTTGGGGGGACAGGATGTTCTCATCCCAGCAACACTGTAACAGTCCTAAAAGCATGCATGGACTGTCAAAGCTCAAAGTATAAGAAAACAACAAAACACAATTTTCATCAAACCTATAGGGAATAGAATGGAAAAAAAGAATTAATTCCTTAAATGGTTCAGTAAGCACCAATTGTCACCAAAGAGGCAAAGAGAGAAATGACAGATGAAGTATCTTCCGAGAAAGTGGAATGGAGGGTAAGCAGCTTTATTACGTATCTTCGAGCTCATGAAAATGAACAAGCAAAAATGATAAAGTGGGGGGGGGGTGCCTTAGGTCCTGGGTCACAAAGATATTAAGTGCCAGCAGGTCATTTTCAACTCATGGCAACTCTATCCCACAGGATTTTCTAAGCTGCAATCTTTACAGAAGGCGTCCTGGTGGTACAATGGTTAAGCACTTACTGCTGACTAAAAAGTCAGTGGTCTAAACTCACCAACTGCTCCATCAGCTTCTGTAAAGACTGAAGCCTGAAGCTATGGAAACCCAGGTGACAGTTACTGCTCTTTCCAAAGGGTCATTTTGGGCAGGAATCAACTCAATGACAATAAGTTTTTAAATCTTTATAGGAGCAGATCACTAGGTCATTCTTCCACAGAGCCACTACTAGGTGTGTTTAAACCACGTGGCTTTTAGTTAGCAGCCAAACCCTTAATCATTGTGCCAGGCTCAGATGAGAAAGAGAGTCACTGAAATTTGACTCGATCTCACATTTGCTTGACTTATAAATGGTTCAAGACCAAAGTTCATACAGAAAAACTGTAGGGTAGTTTCTCTTATAGTTGAGAGTCCACAGGGACAGCGATGAACTGAGCACTTTTCTGCACCGACTGGAAGACTCAAAAGGGCATGGATTTTATTCTTTTCTTGCTCTGTTTGCTTTTTAAGTATTTTATCCTAGAATTCAACGCCCACTTTTCTCTGCTTGTGCCTGTCTCTCCATAAGTGGTGTCCTTTGCCCTGAAGAAGTCAAGGCAACACATCTGGACACACATGGTGGGCCTTTGGTCCTTCCACAGTGTGTGTTCCCAACAATCTGTTTCCAAAAGTTGGTGTCTGAGGCGACTTCAGGAGGGACAGCAGATATTTCTGGATGGAATAATGATGTGGCACTAAACACATAATCACCCAATGACATGGTTACTGCCTTCTCTTAATACCTCAAGAAGTAAATCTCAGTAATTCCCTTTAACACTTCTCTACCAGTAAAAGTCACCAGTTGTTTCCAATCTACTGCATTACAGGTCACCTCTATGGGTATCAGAGAAGAGCTGGGCACCACAGGATTTTGAATTCAGGAGATTGCCAGGGCTTTCTTCCAAAGGATCTCTGGTTAGCAGCTAAGGGTGTAAGCATGTGTACACTCTAGGAGTTCCTTAACACCTCTATAATGCTGGTTAATCCTCTAAGAGATACAAACAAAAGCAGGCAAATGGAAATGGAGACTTCAGGAGACAAAAATATCTAGTTTGAATTTCTGTTTTGCTTCCATTATTCTTTCTCACTTTTACAATTACCTTTTCTTTGTAATAAATGATCCTAGTTTCCATTTATGATGGTGTTAACAAATGTCCTTTGAAAGCCAACGCAGTTATGCTTTCAAAAGTGGAGCCAATTTAAAAAATAATACTAGTAATATCTATTCATTGTGACAGTACTCACTGATGATATACAGAAGAGACAGAAGTTATGAACGCAGCTTGCAAACAACTAACGATTAGAAGAAATTTTATCAAGCCACCAAAACACGGATATTTTCATTTTTTTTAGGGTAAAATAGTAAAGATAGATTTATTACAAATTTCTATCCCCAAAGGGACGGACCTCCGTCCATGAAAGGAAACTGGAGGAGAGAGGATGACATTTTCAATTTTTAAATACAGTTGCTGGAGCAGAAACCATGCAGGTCTTTTGCAGAATGCATGCCATTTTTTCATAATTATGTCAAAGAGATTGACAATGACCCATAAACTATGAACCAAACCTCATTTTTAGTCCTCAGGGGCGGGGAAGAGCCCCAGGCAGCTGGTATCAGCAGAGAAGCCAGAGCAATAACTCTCAGTGGTGCAAATCCAAGCCCACAGACTGCCAACTACATTTACTGCTGGAAAGTTTGGAATCAGACCCAAAGTGTGTAAAGCAAGGTTTCCATCACTCGGATATGCCATTAACGGCAGCCAACAGTTGTTAAACAATGCTTGGCATTAAAAGAAAAAAGAAGAAAAAAAAACCCCAACCCACCACAAATCCCCATTTAGTTCCCTGACTGCCTCTGGCAATTTAAAGCAAAACTGGACTCCATTTACTAGTCAGGGAGATTTAAAAAACGTCCAGAAATCAATCACTATTTGTAGTGAAGAGGAAGATAATGGTAAAAAACAATGGAATGGTTTCTGGAAAATTCAATCCACAGTATTAAATACTTTCCCTAGACAATAAAGAATATTTGGCATTAAAAGAAAAAAAAATTGAAATAGCATTAAAAAAGCAAAGCAAAAACAAAAGCCAGCTGTGGTTAATTCTGCTGCAGACAGCCATGTCATACAGAGCAGAGCTGCACTTCATAGGCTTTTCAAGGGTTTTGGAAGCTGACTGCCAGGGCTTTTTTCCAGGGCACCACTAGGTAGGTTTGGATCATCAATCTTTCAGTTAGTAGCGCAATGGTTAAACATCATGTCATACATGCAGGCTTAAGGAAAAGTCTAGACCACGGCAATTCAGACTCAATTTTCTGTCTCAAAACTCATTCTATATTTCTTGTCATCATGTATTAGCTGTTTTCCAAAAATAAGAGAGCTCATTCTTCTGGCAAGTGCAGGATAACACCTAGGAAGACAAGAATGTACTACACCCAGGGTGGTGGTGGTGGGGGGGAAGCATTATCCTGATTAGGAAGCAAGGACTTACATGAGCTGAGACGTCGCTCTGGTGGAAGGCTTTTCGCAGGGCCTGCGTGAGCCCTTTGGTCACACTGAGCTTCAAGAATTCACTGCTCTGCACTCTCCTTTGGGTCAGAAAGAGAACTGCAAGGCAAAACAGAGGCATGGTCATCTCAGGTAGGACAATGGCTGTCATCATGAATGAGTGAGCCCTTCTCTCCCTGCCAGCCACCACCTTTAGTCAATTTGTAGCGAAGACAGTGAACAAAAGTCCAACCAATGAGAGGATGGGATCTGTCCCCATTGGCATCAAGTCACTTCCACTTCACAGTGATTTTAGTAGAATTGTCTCACAGGGTTGCCAAGGCTGCAGTCTTCATGGATGCAAACTGCCACCTACATCCCCCACAGAGGAGCAGGTTGTGATCACCTACGCTTTGGTAGTCAATGGCATCATTTCATTTGGATCCACAATCAATGACGATTCAAGTGAGCAGTCAGGAAATGAAAAGACAAGTCACTGAGAAAAATCTTCTCTCAACAACCTCTTGAAAGCACTAAAGAACAACGATGTCAGTTTGAAGACTTAGGTGTGCCCTGATCCAAGACATGGCATTTTCAATGCTTCAGGGCTTCCTATGCATTTGAAAGTTGGGCAACAAATAAAGATGACAGAAGACTTGCTGATTGATAGCTTTAAATTGTGGCATTAGAGAAGAGTACTGCATACACTGCAGACTGCCCAGAGAATGCAGAAATCTGTCTTGGAGGAAGTGTAACGAGGGTGCTCCTTACAGGCAAGGATGACGATAATTCATCTGACATACTTCGTGCACGCTGTCAGGAGGGACCTGTCCTTGTAAAAAGACATCATACTGGTAAAGGGTGACCCTCAGCCAGATGAATCGACACAACGACTGTTAACAAGGGGCTCAAGAACGGCGGAGTTCGTGAGGACAGTGGCGGATAGGACAGGGCTTAGAGCTGTTGTTCACAGGGTCATTATGAATTGGAGATGAGATAGTTAATAGTTTTAGTTTACTTGGCTCCACAGTCAACACTCTTGGTACCCGCAGCCAGGAAATCAAGAGACAAATTGCATTGGGAAACTCAGCTGTGAGGGACCTCTCAAGAGTACTGAAGAGCAACGATGTCAGGCTGGAGACTAAGGTGCGCCTGATCCGGGATATAGTCTTCACAATTACG